TTTGCTGCCCTCGTCGTGAAAGGCCTGGGAAACTCCCCAGTTTTTGAGGTGTGGAAGGACAATTCAGAAAAGATGGCTTTGCGACTTGACAAAACTTTGGAACACTTGCAAACAAATATCAGCATGTATCGGAATATATGTCTTTTTGATATTTTTTGTGACTTTGTGTTCGCGAAAAAATAAAAAAAAACACAATAAATCCAAAGGTTTGGAATGTCATTTTTTCTTTGGGTGTATACCCAATGTTAAGACACACCCAGGTTAAGACACACTGGATGTATTTGGGATTATCCTCACAACTTTCGGCCGTGGCTATGAACCACTTGGAGGATCATCCCACTTAATAACTGGTTATTTAACATAGCCGCATAGCCATGGAAGCCATGGCCCATAGAAATAGATGGTTTACCGTTCTTAAAAATGGGTGGATCTTTCCATGGCAAACTGTAACAGTCACAACCAGATGGTAATAAGTAAATGGGATAACACCGCGAGAGGAGCTACTGGGATGATCCTCCGATTTCCCCCAGATCACCCAAACGCGCGCTCTGAGGATCAGACATCGATCATCGACACAATGTTCCTAAGGTGCGCTGGGGCAAAAGAAACATCAGCAGTAGACACTGATTTATACAAATTTGAGTTCTTTGCATACATTGAATTAATTATTATGTAAATATATAGGTAGATTTACATGTTATATATATAACTATATATATATATGTCTATTATATATATATATATATATGTATTATAGATATTAGAAAGTATATGTGTGTATTGTATATGTATAAATATATTGTGTATATATATATATATATTCACTATATATATACACATAATTAAAAAATATATATATACACAATATGTGTGTACCATGTAAATGTGCATGCATGCATGCAGTATGTATGTATGTATGTAACGTATGTGTGTATGTATGTATGTATGTATGTACGTACGTACGTACGTACGTATGTATGTATGTATGTATGTATGTATGTATCTATGTATCTATGTATCTATGTATGTATGTATGTATGCATGTACGTATCATGTGCAAACTTTCAGGTCTATGCCGATGTTTGTCTTTATATAAAGTAGCTGTAGTACAGTAAGGACAACATTTGCAGTGAGGACGTTTTTGCGGATCAAATCGAAATTTCTGGTGGACAAAGTTCTATTTGGGGGTTTCGGGAAATGGGGAATCCCCAAAACCACGGGTTTCAATTCCGAAATGGTCTAAATAATTTCGGATGATTTGGGGTACCCACATTGTGCTTGCATCTTTTAAGATAATGATTATAAAACAGTGGATTTAGAGGTAGTTGTCATTACCCTCTGGTTATTTAAATGTAGCTATGCAAAATCACAATTTCTCAATAGGACAATCATCATAAATCATCTATACATGGGTAATTTTCCATAGCTATGTTCAAAAACCAGAGGGTATTTGTCCTATTTTCAGGCAAAACCAAAAGATGTTTGCCATGAACTGCCAAAATCACATCTCCCTAATACTAACTCCCGGAATCATGGCTTAATAGGGGATTCCCACATAATTGGGACGATTTAGGATAATTGTTCAGGTGTTTGATATTAGGGAGAAGGTATATATTGTTAACCATTCTCAAAATTAATCATTACGAACCACCATCAACCGCCATCAACCACCATTACCCACCATGAACCACTATTACCCGATCCATGTATGCTATATATAGTAACATGGATCCCATCAATATACCCCAGTCATGTTAGCATATATACCAGCACCATGGATCCGTCATGGGCTATTACATGATCACATCATGATCACTATTGACCACTACCATGTTACTGACTATTTCCTATGTCTCCAACGATCTCCAACGGATCCAGGATGATCCAGGTGGAGACCTACGCCGCTTGTCCCAGCTTCGGATGGTGTAGGTGACTGTGGAGGCCAATCTCTCCAGGCTGAGCCTGGCAAAATCCGTGGAACGAAATCATCCAATCTGGAAAGTGGTGATTTAAAATGTTTTAATGGTGATTAAATATTGCCCTGTGGATCCAATGTTGGGTCTATTTGCTGACATTTGCGGTAAACCTTGTTTTTTGACGTCTGTAGGCATTATTTGACGTCCGTAGCCAAAATTTGGCAACATTTGCGGTAACCATAATTTTACCGTAAAATGCTGTGAGCACAAGCGAAAAGTGGCCGGGACCCATATAAGATGAGCGGTCAATCCTGAACAGATCATGGTTTATCGCGTTTCGTCACGGTATGTCCGACAAATGTCATAATTTTAAGTGGCAAAAAAGATAATTCATCACGATTTGTCACGATTTTGAACTGCATATGGCCATGATCAACTCGCATGCGCATCTTCCAAATAGAGGATGCCTGCGGTTTTTTCTCGATTTCCGACAAAATCCGATGGATTTCCAACAGGTTCCGGCAAATGTAACCGAAATCAAGCGTTAACGGAGATGTAGCTGTATTTTGACTACATTTCCATTTTTGATCTATAAGCCGACATCGATCCTCAGGGTTGAGTTAATGGAAAATCAATGTAAATATAGAATTTTAATGGGACTTTATGGGACTTTGTAGGGATTTTATCGGGAAAAAGAGATGGGAATCTTCAATGATTTAATGGGCTTTACTTTACTCTCTGTCCTCACGGCTGCATGGCTGTGGCTGGGGAATCCCCAGATACATGGACGTTTACCCTCTGGTAAATTAACATAGACCCTGGCATTTTTCGGGGTTGGAAGATTAGTTTCCATTAACACTAGGCTATTTTCAGGGTCTATGTTATTTTACCAGAGGGTATAATTTATAGCTGATTTTTTTCATCTACCAGAGGGTATGAATTTCTTACTGGTGCTAAACGCTGGGAATGAGGAATTGATCCATTTCATCACTAGTAATAATCATCCCATTCCCCCAGCAACCCATCCATTCCCTACGTTTAGCACCAGTATGAATTTATGAAATATCGAAATATACCATATATCTGGGCAAATTATCATATTTCACTAACCTGAAACTTGCGGCCATTTCGGGATGACTTGCCTATAAAAAATATGATTCCAGTGAGGAGAACAGTGAGGTCGTTATAATTTACCCATATATATATATCATATATATATATATACATATATAAATATTGATAATCAATTGTATATCCAGTCCATAGTTATTCAGCCATAAACAAAAAATATTATAACATTATGTGTATATATATAATATGACTATGACCATTATGTCTATCATTGCTTGTGATATTTTTTGTGGATATTGATGAGATTTGATTATAACGTCTGGCGTTATAATCCATGATATCATTATAAAATTATGGCCCCATGAAACATCCCGGCAAGATGCGGGTGGTGAATATCCCATAGTTGGCAGTTGATCCCCATTTATCCCCATTTAGTTGCGATAATTAGATATCACTAGCAAATATGTTTGCAAATCATTAGCAACTAATTAGCACATGATTAGCACATAATTCGCAAATCATTAGCAACTAATTAGCACATGATCAGCAAATAATTCGCAAATCATTAACAACTAATTAGCACATAATTAGCACTAAAAATGCGCATATAATTAGCAAATCATTAGCAGACATATCCTAATCAACTAGCTCGTTATATCCCATTAATCAACCCAAAACACCAAGTTGTCACCTCCTTTGGCCACACCTTGAAGCCTATCCACTGGATGGCAATGGAAAATCCATGAGTTTTCCATTGGATTCCGTGGTGATTTTATATTAACAAAAGTTTCTGCAAGTTGCTGGAGGAAAATCGATTAGCAACAAAAAGGATTTTCCACCCATGTCGGTTGAGGATGAGATCTCCCCGTGAAATGCCCACGGTTTTGCCGCAACTGCGCGGTCCAACACACGCTGGGTGCACGCCATGGCCAAAGACACATCGCCTGCCCCGACTGTGCAGCCTGGCGAAACTGGACATAACTGGGCCCCAGTTAAGGGGGTCTCAAGAAAACATGGTGAACATTGGTGAAGAAAAACATGGAATTATATGGATTTATGAGGATTTAACCGGCAAAAATGTGGATTTGAGAATAGTTGACAGTCAAGAAACCATAACAAAATGGAGGTTTCAAGGGATTTTACAAGTCAACAATCGGAATTTGAAGGGATTTTACAAGTCAAGCGTTGTATCTATGGTGAGGTAACAAGAGAAAATGAGATGTATCGTGACTTGACAATGCACAAATTTGGATTTGAAGGGATTTGACCATCAACAATTTGGAGTTACGCTGAGGGCATTCACAGAAAATGCAGAGCTCAAGGGATTTTTAATGAAGGTTCAATAACAAGACTCCAAGCCTACATGAGCAATCAAACACATGGGCCACTTAGTTTGGGCTCCTAAACAAAGGAAAATGCGAACCTCCACATTTTGCTACTGGTATTTCAACATAGCACGGGAAACTTCTCATTGTGAATGGGAGAATAAAGAAGGAGTGTCATGAATTCGTGTACTTCCCAGGTTAAATTGGTTAAATGTCCAGAGGGTATCCAAACAACCAACCAGGTGCAATCAAACATGATTGCACCAAGAGTGTCGGTTTCAATCCGAGCACATGAGTGAATCTCCTCATGTCTGAGGTGGACAATGATGTTTTTAGATCACCTGAGGCTGGTACAATGTCATATCCTGTTGCCTGACAACCAAAGGACCTCGTAAACCACACTGCCAGCCTGGGTTTTACAAGATTTATATCCAAAATAATTATCAATCATATATTGCTGGCCAAATACATCATGATGTCATATCATTTCAACTACTTAAATCACATTAAAATCACGAAAACAACGGAAAACAACACAATTTACTACTGAAATTCACCACGACCTGGCCCACTGTTGTGGCCATTCACATTATAAATGGAAATAAAACTCCTATAGCTAAGGTTAATTATATAAATCCATTTACACATGTTTTTTTCGGGCAATAACTGCATGACGCCCAGCATTTTTTCACAGTTCTGTGTGACTCGACGGACGACGCAGCAACGCGTCGTGCATGGCTGCGAGGCGTTGCGACAAGCGCTTTGGCAGCCGGCCGCGCCAAGCCTTAGTCCACGGAAGCAAATGGGTGTGGTTGATACTGCGGTCTAAAGTGGTGTAAACCGAGGAAACACTCAATTGAGCCATGTTCTAAAATAATGTATCATTATGTTTTATTCTGGCACCATCTGTATCAAACGAAGAAATCCATACGCCGTTGCTTGCGTTTTGCTGGTGCGCCCGCAGGTTTTGCTTCACGCGCATGATTTTGTCTTAGGCTCAGCTTACGCTGGCTTAGCTTCGCTTACGCCACAGCCTTATAAGGAGCCCCTTCCTAAACATAAACAGAAGATACGCACGGGTTTTGAACATGGCTCGAAGGGCATATTTAATACTTTTTTTAGTTAACCAATGGATTGCAGTCAATTTCGCATATATATATATACATACACATACACACACACATATATATATGGAAGTGCTTGCACGGGAAGATGAGAATGACATGGAGTTTCATGCCTTCGCTGGCGCTCAAGCTAAAACGGAGTAGGCGCCATGCGATGGGAGGCAATCGCCCTTGCACTGTTCTCTCATGCAGGCTTTGCAGGCGGGTTGGCGCGCCAAGGTGGACACCCCTTCGATTGCTTTGCCCGCCTGCTTGGAGGATCGTGCTGAGGTTCAGTGTCACTGCAATTGCTTCTGTATGCTTCTGTGGCATCAAGCAAGACGTGAGCCTGGTGGCTGGTGGAGGATCCTTGGTGGGGGCTGGTGTGGCTGGTGCTGCTGTGGGAGGACACGTCAACTAGAGGGATCCCCTTGTCCATGTCGCAACGGGCAAGGTTTGACCTTGGTGGTTTACTACGATGACGATGTGTACTGGCATGAGCGCTTGGTTCTATGGAAGTTGTCTGATTCCGTGTGGTACGTGTTGACCCCGGACCTAGATCTCTATGGAGAGGACCTTTCATGCAGTGGATGTGAAGGACCGTCCATAGTCAAAGTAAAAGGAATGGATTTCAAATACTGGTCTAGGGTTGGGATAACATTCTGGTTTGGGCATGGTTTGGGATTGGGCAAAAGCAGTGCACTTCACACCTTTGAGCTTGTGTATTTCCACGTGATCTTTCATTGACTTCATATTTTACATGTTGCCTGGGGTCATGTGGACGTTGTTAAGTTTTTCTTCTACCTGTGAAGCAGCTGTCGGAACAATGCTCCAGCTGTCAAAGAGCACAGCTGCCGTGAGTTCCTGTCGAACGCCAGGACGGTGCAGCGAAAGCCTCGTTTCTGTTGGTCAAATCACCGTGGATTAGCCCTCAACATTCCTCAACCCCTTAAGAGTCAGCACTAGGGACATCACATATCTAGGTGTGGCCTCTTTACATTGTGGTTTATATCGACGCATTCATCAGCCGTTCTCAGCTCAGAAACGGCATCGAGGCTCTCCAAACTCGGCGCTGCTTGGAAGTTTCGCGCTTCCAAGGCCGCCAATGTCAACTGCACGGGGCATCATGATCATGATCATGATGATGATGATGATGATGATGATGATGATGATGATGATAAAACTGATTATAACATAGAATTGATGCACATAGTATGATGAAAATACTAATAATAATAGTAATAAAAATAATAAGGACAACTGGTGAAAATAACAATGAATATACTGTGTGTTACTGCCTAGAGCCAATGCAAGCATCGAAACAAATGGAGCAAACAGTTACCCTTCAGTAATTTCACATAGCTATTGCAAATGGAAATTCTATAATTGACTTATATATTAATTAAAAAATGTAGTTTTCCATAGCTTTGTTAGTTTACCGGGTATCTGTAGCGCAGATGATTCACAGGCACCGTGATCAAACTTCCGTACGCCCAACTAATTTGGGACCATCGTCTTGACCTTAAACAACTGACATGGCTCGTCTTGGAGACCCTGCAAAAGAATGTAATGCTTTGCTGGGAAACCAAAATACCTCGCCATAATTTATGACTAGAAAAAGAGCACTACACTACAAGAAATATTTTCACCCATCCGCCAGATCTATCTGCCATAAACCCATCAGCCCATTTAACTTGTCTATTCAAAATCACATGAGTTTGTCAAGTTTGGCTAAAATCCTGATGTCCACTAGTAGAATCCCATTTCCTTTCATTAAATATAATTCAGTTCATTGGCTTAATCGCCATTTTGCTTGGTTTTTTATGATTTAAATGATCATTTTTCTTGTTTGGTGGTTCACATTTTTGGAAGTTACCATCTGGTTATTTAACATAGCCATGGAACATGGCCCATTTATAGATGGTTTACCCATTAAAAATGGTGATTTTCCATGGCTACGTTAATTAACCACGTTAAGTCCACATGTTGGGCGCCGGCGCGCCCGGCGCGCCGGCGCCTCAGTGCTCTGCGAAACTTCCATGGATCGCAGCGCAAAGCAATAGATGTCCTGCGAGAAGATAGGCAGTCAATCATGTATATATGTATATGAATATGTACTTATATATGTATATGAATATATATATATATATGAGAATATACTGTGTATATATATATATATGTATATCTACATGTATGTAATGTAATGCAATGCAAAGCCATGTAGTGTAATGTAATGTACTATATATAAATATACACATGTGATGTATGTATCACGTTCATATCAATATATATATATTATTCAATTGAATAGAGCATCTGTACATATGTATATATAATTATATATATATAATTATATATTTATATATATATATATAATTATATATATTTTATATGTATATATATATATATAAGTATATTATATATTGCCAAGCCCGTGTTTGGCTTAAGACTGGTGGGGGGGGGGGTCCGGAGGGGGAAACGGAGGGAAGGGGTGGTGCACGGCAAGGTGCTAAAATTTCAAAAATAGGTGCTCAAATTTAAGGAAATAGGTGTTTTTTTGAAGAAACCGGGTCGGGATCCAGTCGGGACCCAGTCGGGACCCAGTCGGGACCCAATCGGGCACCAATTTTTGCATTTTTGGGCACCGCTTTTGGCCAGTCGGGATCCAGTCGGGATCCAGTCGGGATCCAGTCGGGATCCAGTCGGGCACCAATTTTCGAATTTTTGGCACCACGTTTGGACCTGTCGGGAAGCAACCAAAAAATCACCGAAAAACATGCAAAAACACTGCAACAATGCTATTTTTTATGAATTTGGCTGCCTCCCGACATTGGTGCCCGACTGGATCCCGACTGGATCCCGACTGGCCAAAAGTGGTGCCCAAAAATGCAAAAATTGGTGCCCGACTGAATCCCGACGGGATCCTGACTGGATCCATAGATTGGCAAGAACCCACTCCCGCACCTATTTTTCCCTTCCCAGACCCACCCTTGCCCCTATTTTCCTTTTCCGCGCACCAGCCGTGCACCAATACCCCCCCCCCTCCTGCACCAAAACGGTAAAAGCAGTCTTGAGCCAAACGGGGGTTCTACAAATTATATATATATATATTTATAATTATATATTATATATATATATGTATGTGTATATAAATGTATGTAGATATATGAGGACAACACTCTTCCAACTTTGCCCATATTTTTGAACGCAGCCACAACAAGCGCATTCGCCAAACGATTTCACAATCAGAGGGGCAAACATTTGCATTGAATCAACAGCATCAAGCAAGTTAAGCACACGTACAAATTATGTACATATGATAAGCATTTGTACATCTATGACTACAAATATAGGCTATCGGAGTAGGTTTTTTCCCCAGTTCGGAATCGCCAAGTTGGTTTATAATAACAAGTTAGTGTATGATATTGGATTATAAACTATGGGGTTATAAACTATGGGGTTCTAATGTATTATATCTATGTATGATATTAAATTGATATTCACTTTATAAACTAACAAACATAACTTGGGGGGCCCATCCTGTAGGATGCTATAGCTATAGATACATAAACCCATACCAAACTCCATCGATGGCTGTCCTCCGGTCGCAGTCGCTCTGCAAAGAGGTCAGCGGCCGCCTGCCGACGCAAGGAGCCAACTTGGTGGAGAAAATCTGGATAAAACCCATGGATTTTCGGAAAATCATCTAGAAATGGGGATTTAATGGTGAATCTAATGGTGATTTACCCTCTGGTAAACTAACATAGCTATTAAAAATGGCCATAGAAATGATTTTCCCATAAAAAATGATGATATTTCCATTTTCTAATAGTGATTTAATGGTAATATCATGGAATTCTTAATGGAGAATTGGACCACGCCCTCCGGTAATCAAACGTGGCTGGAAACATGTCCATTTATAGTTCATTTTCCCAGCTAAAATCCTCCATTTAGTTCGGAGATTTTCAATTGCCAGATTTGATTGCCAGAGGATATTCTAAATCTTGACTAATCATATCTAAGATGTCTATCTTATCTAATCAGTACTCATATAACTGGAACTCATAACTGAGCCAATTAAAAAAAAAAACATCTCCCCCATCGTACCATCGTACTTGTTGGTTGATAGGTTTCCCGTGTCTCTGGGTTGTAACAATGTCCAATAACCAGCTGCTACAATTCCTTACGATAACCAATCAACTATTACCCTCTGGTAATTTAACATAGCTATTGAAAATGGCCATTTATAGTGGATTTTCCCATTGAAAATGGTGATTTTCCATAGTTATGTTAGTTTACCAGAGGGTAGGTATTTTGTTCATGGCTCATATGACCTCAGTTTTGGATGATTTCCGTTCCATTCTGGTCCCAAAAAAACTCAGCTCCCACAAAAAACGACACTTGAGCCATGATACTACAGTTATGGCCCTTTACCAGTTATAAGTACTTATAACTCCATTTATAGAATGTATTTTATCCCATAGAAATAACCAGTTATAACTAATAGCCATGGCCATAACTGTAGTCGGTTGAAAACGGTTTCCCTGGCTGTCATAATCCCCAAGGAAGAGGTATGATTGGTAGATATTGGTAGTATAAGTCCCAACGAATCATGGCCAATCTTGGATACCCTGCAACAAATGACAAATTCTTAGCTGGTGAACGTAGATAATCCATGATAATCCCAGATCAAAAGCTTAGGATTAGTTTCATCAAGTTGGTGACCCTAGTAAGTTATGATCCAGTTCTCTAACTGTTACTAAGCAGTATATGATCATCATAACTGCTTGGTGCTTGACCTATCCCAAGAAATGATGGACAACTCGTCAGTAATGATGACATTCCCAATATATATGAGAAATTCCATTAAAATTCATTAAACCACTATAATCATCTATAATCCATATGAAATTCCCATATGGAAAGTCATGAACAAAAATTCCAGTCGGTTCGAGTCACCATCAACCACTCAGTGGGTCCAAGGCCCGCCTGTGCCAGCGTTTGGGCCCAGGTCTCGTTGCTCTCCAACTGCTGCAGCACGTCCAACAGATTGGAGAGGTCCGGGGCAAGCGGCACATAGTGCCTGAACATAGAAATGGTCAAACATTCATTGGATTGGTTTAAGGGAAAATTTACAGGAAACCATGGTTTTTACCATCAAATATAGGGCTTTCCTGTAATTTTTCCCATAATCCAATTCTATGAAACATGGGATAAGACATATGATGTACAATGGTATTTATATGGCAGTGTGTCAAAACCTTGTACCCCTGGTGAACATCAAAATAGCTGGTAAATGGATGTTCATCCCCCTAAAAATGGTATTAATTAATAGGTATTGATCCATAGCCATATGGGTTTATAATTTACAACCAACAATTTTAGGGGATATAAATGATATAAAGGGACACCATGGGGATATAATTATAATGAAATAACCACAGTTGCGGCCCTATATTATATGGGATGATTACTGTACGTAAAGGAGGCTATGAGCCAGTTGCAAGTGTTAAAAGGGCTATAACTGTGGTGACAAAATACCTACCAGTAGTCCGTTATTGTAGATGTGGTTAACTAGAAGCCGGCCTATCACTCATGCCTTTCCTAGTTACAGGAACAGTGGTCGCAAAAAAGAGACAACAAAAACTTGAAGTACCCGTAATCACCGTTAATCCAAGGTTTGAAAAAAACATGTGTTCTTTTGGATTGGTATATCGTTTTTTTTTGGATAAGTGGAGTAGATTCCCACATGGATCCTGTTATCTATGGATTATCGGTGCATCACTGATAGTGCCAGCGATTTGTGGGGGTTTCACCAACAAGACTAGCACTATTCCCGGATTTCGGCAGTCAATATTGGATTTCAGTGAACAATAACTCATCGGGAAACCCTCCGGCGTCATTTCAACATGGCTTGCTGGACAATTTTAAACACATATACCCATTTGTCTAGCTGGCCGTGTAGTTCCATGATTTTTTACCAAGCTAGAAACTTCCATTGAGAATGCAATATTCCATTGTTGTCCCATCTTGTTCCCATATTTTCCCATGACTAGCACAAGTCAACCTCCATTGACTTTGGGGGCGGATCTCTTGGAAGATGGCCGGCAGCGGTGCGAGCTCTCTGATCTCATGGGAAACAGTAGCTATAGAGAAACAAAGGCAGGTCTTGGAGTACTGCAAAAGCTTCAACAAGTGTACTCTTTGGTGGGATTGACCACTCACGCCATCGTGTCAATTCAGAAAATATCAAAAAGATCGTCGAAACTTCGAAAAAAAAATAAAAACGTGTACATCTCAATTTGTCATTCCTCCCCTGATGTATTGGTTTAGTACCCAATCTATTGATTTGGGCTCACTTATTGGAGGTATTTTGTATCAAGGCTATGGAATTGGATCCCAACAACAACACTGGAATCTAGAAGCGCTTTGCACTTTACAAGAACTTCAACATCAAACATGTCATAGGGCCTAGCCAAAAAAAAAGACATATGTGACATATATATATATATATCTCTCTCTCTTTCTTCAAGAAATCCATAAAATCACCATGTTTCCCACCATGTTCCCACCATGTTTCCATAAAATCACCATGTTTCCATCATTTCAATCACCATTTCCCCATGGTTTCCATAGGTTTCTCGGGGATTCTCCAACCTCCATGGCTCCAGCAGAGCGTGCAAGGCTTCGTTGGTGGAGCTCTTCTGCAGCAGCAGAACAGATCCGGTGCCTGCAGTGCACTTCACCAAAGTTCTGGGGGAGCATGGAACAACACGCTTGGTGAAATGTATCCTAATCCATATGTATATATAAGTATATATATATATAGTATACTATATAATATAATGTGTATATATATATTATATTCAATATATCTATATAATTAATGCATAATATATATATATATATATATATATATTGTATTATACATATAATGTGTGTATGTAAATATGAATGAATATATCTATATATATATATATTATTATTATTATACTATTATGCCTCCAAATAAATTGGAATAACATGGTTGGTCATTGTAAACTGTTTTTTCTTAATCAGTTTCAATCCAACACTACCTTAATTTGGATTTAACAAAACTAGTGATTTCATCCTCAATTTGATGGTGTCACAGTGCTGCTCCACGAGTTTTGTAATTGGTTACGCCAAGTGGGGTCAGTTCACGCAGGTTTCTGAAGGGTTTTTCTTCATTGGATAACCCAATAAGAATCACTTATGAAGCAGGGATGGGCCTGCTTGGTGCTTGATCAATGGAAATGGATGACCTACTATCCATATAGTATGGTTAATGATGGTTATTATATGGTTAATATATGGTTAATATATGGTTAATATATGGTTAATATATGGTTAATAATAATCTAGTTGGTGGTTGACCTACCCATCTGAAAATGATGGAGTTCGTCAGTTGGGATGATGAACTTCCCAATATATGGAAAAATGTTCCAAACCACCAACCAGTGGCAGTTTCACCAACCAATTCGGAGCCCATTCAACAGGTGTATCTGCAATTTCATGGTAGTTCAATGGACGAAACATGTGGCTTTGATTTCCGCGACAAGAACCATATTGGAACCCTGGAAAAGAATTAACAACAATGAGTTATGTGAGTCGGACCTCCAATCATTCAACATATATTTCTAATAAGGACTCTGTAACGGAGTCCACTTTTTAAGAAGCCCTCTAAATAGCAATCAGGTTACAAAACTCGTGTAGCATAGACATTTACGTGGAGGAGTATTTTTTATGCTTCTATTAATTTGCCCTCTGGTAATCAAACATGGCAATGGACCATCCCGTATTACTATTATATACTATTTATAAATGATTTGTTCCCATGTAATTAGTTCCATATACCCTCTGGTAAATTAACATAGTTATTGAACATGGCCATAGAAATAGTGGATTTATCCATTAATAATGGTGATTTTCTATAGCTACGTTAGTTTACTTGCCATAGAAATAGTGGATTTACCCAGCTATAAAATGGTGGATCTTTCTATAGCTACGTAAACGTTTACCAGGCCGGGTCTTTCCCTGTTCAGATGTTTCCAGGCCATTTTCGGGCGTTCCTCATCGATGATCGACAGCTGGCTGAATTATCATCAGATTCCCCAAACCCAAAATGAACATTTAGCTGCATTTAGCTGCCAGAAATGTGGGATTCTGAATATATCTATCTGGCCTGGTTGGTGGTTTCAGCCCCTCTGAAAAATATGAGTTCGTCAATTGGGATGATGAACTTCCCAATATATGGAAAAATAAATTAATTTTCCAAACCACCAACCAGTGGCTGAATTATAGTTATTCACCAACCAGAATTCAGAGCTGAAGACTTCGGTCATTTGGGGATGATTCCCGTGATTTCCCGAAACCAAGATTCTATCCAGTGACATCACCAAACGAGGTCATGATTTTTTTCATCCAAATGACATAAACCCATGACAGAACCCCCACTAAAGCACAAGAATCATCTGTTTTTCGTGGTTAAATCCCCCAATATTCATCGGTGAATCCCAATTTTCAATCGTAAAAATATCCATATTTTTCATTTATATACTTACTTTAAGACAAATTGACTTAGACATGTAAATGTGTATGTATATATATATATATACATACACATATATATATATATATATGTATATATATATATAAATAATTACATGTGTATATATACATATGTATATATATATATATATTTATTTATGCCCACATGTTGATTCATCCCTGTCCCATGATCCCAGCCACGAAGCCGAGCCCAAGGAACCCAAGAGGTACGAGAGACGCCAGGAGGAAACCACGCCGTTCAAATTCAGCACGTAGCGATAGTGCCTCGCCCGTTGCTCCACGGCCTCGCTGATGCCCATGGTGCTGGAAGTATCAACATTTGCCCCTAATTTATCACCCAGTTTTGTGGGTTTTTATATACCAGCTAAACTTGGTTCGCATCTGGAGTTACAGTTTGGTTGATTGGTTAATTCCTACTGTAAGTGAAACATAAGTGAAACATACCCAGATGCTCCATGTATGGTATATAAAAACCTACATTTGGGTGATCAATTAGGGACACATGTTGATGAATATTCCTTACATGGAGCATATGGGATTAGTGAAACATGGAGTTTGTGTTTCCATATATATATATATATAGTTTTATCATCGTTGGATGGTGAAACATTCTAGTGAACCATTCTAGTGAAACATAAGTGAAACTGGATGATGCTGGTGAAACATTCTTGTGAAACAAAAGTTAGATAAGTGAAACATGGAGCTTAAGTTGAGTTTCCATATAGTTTCTACCATTGGAAGTGAAATTACAAGATTCTGATTGAAATCAGAGTCTCTCATAGAGTTAAAGTCACTGTCTCTTGCGGGACATCATCACGATTTCTGCGGCTACAAGCGCTATTTCGAAAGGTAACATCGCAGTTTTTCAGCTAACATATATGGTAAAATCACGAAAATCTGTTGGGTACAAAACACATCACCATCAGATTTTTGATCACCATCATGTTGCTTTTCTCATCACCATCGTTTTCCTTCAAACCGCCGCCCGTTCGCCCGATCCCGCCGATCCCGCCGATCCCGCCTCAAAGTTGCTGAAGTTCACCCCGTGCTGCGAGACGATGCGCTGCACGGTCTGGTGGCTCCAAACACCCCAGGTACATTTGCAGGGTAAATTTGGGTAATTCAATATATAATTATATAGAACTATATAGAGGTAAATCTGGGTAAATTGGGGAAGTAAATAGATAAATATATATATATACATAGAAATATGTTCATTTATAATATTTATATATAGAATTATCTGATAGAGGTAAAATGACCCATTTAGCCCGCAAAAGTGGCTATCATTTACCTAGAATGAGGTGGAGCAACCCTGAATATCATGGGAACATTATGAAACCATATGTGTTTGGTGATTTGAACATTGAACATAGAGATTTAACGGGGAAGAAACATCGGAGTATTTTCCATGAAAAAAAATGATGAACTATAGGAGTTAACCAAGAATAATGGGATTCACCGCTTGTAGTTGCCCATTTTTGGGGTAACTTGACCAGAAAAATCTTGGTAATTTCCTGGGAATACTGGACATATCACGGGAATACAGTAAGATTTGAGCATCCAATGAATGGGAATAAGTTTCAATGGTAGAATCTAACCGGAATATCATAGGAATATGGATGACATCCATATCATATAAAGAGAATTTAAGCATCAACAGTAGGATTCACCAATTATAATGTCCATTTTTTGGTAGAACTTGTAGTGAAACAAGTAACACAAATGGTAATCTGACAATGAAAAATATGGAGTTAAGAGTAATATCATGGGAAAAAATGCCAACAATATGAGATTGGTGTGTCTGCACAGGGGGTATAACGGTATAACCCAAAAAGTCTTATCTAATTGGGAAAATGATGATAATCAGTGGATGGAATGGGGTATCCAATTTTCAAACAATTCCTTCTTGTAAGTTTCCTATATGGTTGGTTCCATCATGTCATGTCCCATTAAATTCCATTATGATGTCCAAAAAGTCCTTTTTTCAATCCGGTAAATGTTGCAAACAATTCCACGTATATATACTGTACGTATACTGTGTAAATACAATAATAATACATATATAATCATATATATATATACACTATATATATATATATATACATACACATCTTATCTGCATGTCTCCCTAGACTTCCATTCCCACCTCCTCTCAGAACGTAGGTAGGTTGGCAGATTAAATGATATCTCTATGTATATATAGATACACACACTGTATATATATACACATATATATATAGAGTAACCAAAAGGGACAGAAAAGTCAATCTCCACTATTTAATGCTTCTTTTCTATCATTTCTATCTTGGGAATGGGGGTTTGCTATCTATAAACTGACTCACCTGATAGGGAAAACACACATAAAACATCATAAAACATTGATCAGAAAAAAACAAAGATACGAAATACTAAAACAGTTACCCTCTGGTAAACGTTTACAGAACCATGGAAAGATCCACCTTTTTTAATGGGTAAATCCACTATAAATGGCCATTTTCAATAGCTATGTTTGTTTACCAGAGGGTAACATTGTTCATGGTTGACTTTCACCATGTCAGAAGCAGTGTAGAGAATCAACAAACATCTCATTTTGCAACACATGTTTTACGGGTAACAAAAATGTACCTCTCAGCTGAGGATGGCGTGAACCTATTCATTATTGCTGGTTGAATATGGCGAATTTCCGCTATCCAACAAAATCCAGTGTTTTTTTGGGTTCGGTTCTGGATAGATTATAGTAGTTCAACAAACTGCAAAAAGATAATAACGCAATTTTGGGGATAGTCTTCCATACTATCCTTCCAGTGACGTCACGACGTGAGGTCGTTATACTTTATCCAGATGGATGTCTAAAGAAATGGTGAATTGTCCATATCTATTTCAATTTGCTGGATGATAATTCCCAAATCAGATATGTGGGATAATTCCCTTGTTCAATTATCGTGATGTCGGCTGGTGAGGCCGCTATCATTTTCCGGGGTATATCAGCTGTATATCCCAGATGCTCCATGTATGGTATATTTACCAACATTTACATATGTAGGTTTTTATATACCATACATGGAGCATCTGGGTAGATCTTTATGACTGATTTCACATGGTGGTACAAGAATCACCGACATGAGACATACCCTCTGGTAAACATACAAAGAACTATGGAAAGATCCACCATTTTACAGCTGGGTAAATCCACTATTTCTACAATGTGGGGCCCCCAAGATAGCTAAGTTGGTTTATAACTCCAATAACTATGGTTTATGGTACTTATAACTATAGTATTCATGGGGTTTATAAACCAACTTATAACTGGGGGGCCCCACATTGTATGGCCATTTTCAATAGCTATTTTGACATAACCAGAGGGTACGTTGGAAAATCACGACAACATGGGCCAATCCAATGCAACATTTGCTGTGTCCCACAGTTGTTTTAGCTGCTACAAATAACCATGGTGGTGTTTGTTCATGTTCTATCTCATGTTTTATATCATGATTTGTTGAAAATGTGTTACTTCAAGTTTTTCATGTTTATTTGATTGCATATTTCATGTTAGTTCATAATGTTCAATGTTTTTTTCCATCACCATGCCATACACCCTAGTTATATTCATGTTGAATCAACTTAGCAATAAACCAACTTAAGTTGCGATTCCGTTCACTGGGCCCCAGTAGGAACGTATCAGAAAATCTACAACTGCCAGACTTGGTCAAGGCGCAGATCAATGCAGGATTACTAATCCGGTACAAACATTGGCCAACCTTTGATATACAAAATAGGGAAGCCAGCTCTTTTGTAGCAGCATCGCCATCAGTAGCCGCATTTACGATGAAGTTGTAGTTTTTTTTTTTTTTTTAAGTTCCATTAATGGTTATGATATCCCATTATACCCATTAATTATAGTTAATGGATTTGTAAACCAACAACCATCACTGGCATCACTGGGCTGGTTTCACTGAGAATTTGGCGCCTTTTTGCCCCACATGACTTTGAGATGATTATCCACAGAGTTCACGGCCACATCAAACCTGAGAGTGGGATCCGCTGGGAAATCGGGAGGGATTGCACATGCACAACTCGGATTTCTGGTGGACCAGCTGGATGAAACTGGGAGGGACCTACCCTGCACAGATTCACCCAGTTTCATGCGTTTTTGATGTGTATGTCCAGGTTCGTTGATTCTTGATGGTTAACATCCCATGTTTATTTGTTCCCTAGCTCATTACTCACTGCTTTACATGGCCAATCCTGGATATTTCACAATTTATAGCACAAATTAAGTTGTACTACACTACCCATTCATTTGGTTTCGCCAGTTTCCATCTGTTTCCCAAACTTTGGAGCTGCAATGCTTCATGAGTTAGAAACACATGCTGGTTCCATCCTTATCATTTGGAGGACCCTTCTTCATCTACAGTAAACATCAACATCAAGCAAGGACGAATGGTACCTATAACTTAAAACGTTAACGCGTGTAACTGTTTGATACACTTAAATATACCCCAAACAAATTTTGGCTTATATATAAGTATCTAGTATGTATATGCATATATATATAATATGAATATATATATATATAATATGAATATATATATATAATATAATATGCAAACTAATATGTATATATATATAATTATATATATATATATACACCATTAGATAGGTATGGATAAAATCTGTGATAATTCATCCCCCACCCCAAGTGGTTCAGGAGTAGGGGGGTGGATCGTACATTTTTTCAAATGTATGGGGACCAGGGTGGGGGGTAACCTCTCAAAATGAGGCATGTATGAATGTCAGATGCGGGACATGTATGCTTTGCGTGGGGTACAACTGACAAGAGCCAATGGATACATAAACTTTTCCACATGTATGGAAGCATGGGGGTTCTGCAACTTAATCCAGTTGATTCTTTTTCCTGGGAAACCTTTTGGCTACATGAAGAAAAAAATAAAAAACAAATGGAGATGTCGCAAAATGTCTAAATGGTTCCCGAAATGGAAGCTTAACATGTTTTAAAAAAAATGGTTCCAAATAGGTACCTTGTGAAATTAAAGGTGCTTTTAAGCCATCTACAACAACCAGTCCCTATGACTGCAGAGGTCGAGCCCGGTTTGGCCCCATGGCTGGAGGACCCCAGGGCTTAATACTTTTTCAGCAGAGGCACATCAGAGCAGGCTCCAGTTCATAAGATTGTCCACCACAGAGAGTGATGGTCAGTGATGTACCCTCTGGTAATTTGTTACATAGCTATGGAAAATCACCATTTTTCATGGGAAAATCCACTATAAATGGTCATTTTCAATAGCTATGTTAAATTACCAGAGGGTACATTTTTTTAAATAAATATTGATTTACCAGACAGAACATGCCATTGAAATATGCTGAAATGTATGCTTTGCAGGGGGTACCAAGGAATCCCTTAGCAAGATGTATAAAATCCATTTGCCAAAAATGATATGCTTTTTGTCTACCCAAGCCCCCTAAAATACTTTTTTCCAAAGAAGGGTATTCCCCAGAAAAAAAATGCTACATACCTGGGTATACCCGGGGATCCTGGAAAAACCAAGCCCGTAAAATGTATTAAACCATCGACCACCCTCCTAAAATAAAAGATCCTGTGGGGGTGGATATCCCGACCCATGGATCCTATATTTTTCAGACTCCCCTCGTCAAAAAATGTATTTTGGGGTGGTCCTGGGGAATCAATTTTGGAGGACGAGAAATGCTTTTTTGTTTTTTCCATAACCTCCCCCCTCAAACACATGTTTAGGGGTGGGTGATGATAATTCACTAAGATGAAATGTGAGGCTATTGGGGGACACCTCAATCCCCTCAAATCCGTATTGGGGGACCAACCATGGAGCTGATGACAGAGGGTCAATCATAACAAGTATCCCCTTTAGTTCAATGATGTTCCCATGAAATATCCCCATCATATATCTTTTTTAACATCATAGCCATGATTTAATAGTAGTACTTAATTCATATCCGCATTCACATCCATGAAAACTTCTATCGACATCCACTAACAAACATCCATTAACATCCATTAAAGTCTATAAATCCGGATACCCTCTGGTAAACTAACATAGCTATGGAAAATCACAATCTTTAATAGGAAAATCAACTATAAATGGACCATTTTCCATAGCTATGTTAGTTTACCAGAGGGTACTTCTAAATATCAAAGTAGTAGTTCCCATTTTGTGCCACCGTTTTTGTTCTGGTGTCTCCGAGACGCAGCTCTGGCTTCTCTTTGGCCAGCTGAAAGATGCGCAGCCGAGGAATGCTAGAAGCCTAGCCCAAGGCGGCAGAAAATCTGGAAAATCCACGAAGAATCTATCGGTTCATCCAGTTTTCATGGATCGTCAAATACCTGGAATTTACGAACAAATACATTAGAGCAATATTTATAGATGTAGTATGATGTAGGTACAGTTTAATTCAGCATTTAAAGAATTACGTCATGAATCATTAATCTGGCAATTTCAAGGGATGATCCACATGTGTTTGCGATCTTCGCAGTGTTTCAGGACGTAGGGGACGTGGTTTCTAGTGGTCGAGAGATGTTTAAACATGTTTAAACAATGTGGTGCCCGTTGTAAGTTCTTTTGAAACACCATCCAGCTATACTCTAAGTCACCAGAAAGCCTTGCCAATCTAGTTGCAAACCAACGTATCCAACGTAGTTAGGCACTACCATGTAGCATTTCACAAAACGATGTCCATTCCATCAAATGATGATTACCATTGCAAGGATCAAGCAGCCGACCCCTGCAGTTTTCTTCTGAACATCAGGGAAATCCCTCCAACAAAAACTCCAAACAACATTGGTCTCTTGTGCATCAAAGTGTGTTTTCATCACCTTGTTTGGTGTCTTTTCATCAAATTGTTTCTCATCACCAAGTTGTGTTTGTTTTTTCAAGCAGGTTTCCATTGCCAATCTGAGATGCCCTGCAAAAAAAAATGTGTCAGCTGGTTAGTAGATATGTCTATTGAAATCGTACATATTAACGGATTAAAATACTCATTGGATTGGCAAAAATTGGAAAACAAATAACCAGAAACCCACATAATTATTGTTTATGGTAAAAACCACGGTTTCCGGTTAAGATTGTCCCTTAAACCGATCCAAACACCCATCCGAGGTTGATATCTCCAATGTCTCATGACTTTCCGCTTGGCCTACGAGGCCCGAAACCCCAGAGGCATTCCACACAAGCAATTTCCAGTATGCATTGATTAACCGTAGATTGCTATATGGTTCACTGTGTTAATTCGTATAATCATCTCTTGTTGGTCATGTTCTTTTGAACAAGTTGAATTGTTGATAAACTAATGCAAATGATTATATACATATTTCATTGTCAATATACATTGAGTTGACTCTCAATTCACGATTCCAACTTTTGGGAGCTAACATTCAACGATTCATGCAATATATAATCGCTATAGCTGGCTTCGAAAAAACTAGACTTAACGCTCAACAAAAAATGTATTTACTGTCAAAGTCATGTTCAATCCTAATTAGATTTAACAGTACAAAGACAGACGTTGTATGTTATGTGTTGGCTAAAACCCAAATGGGTTGATGCGTCATGAACTGGCTATGGACCAAAGCTTGGGTACCCCATGTAACACCAAAATAATTTGTAAATGCGGGTTCATCCTACCAAAATATGGTAGTTTAATGTAGTTTATAGCTTTTGATCCATCCCCAATTCTCGAGTTAGTGGACTAACCCTCCTCAGCCTACTTCTAACTAAGCTGAACATCTCACTTTCCAAGTGGGATACATCCCAAATGTATCCAAATGTTTGATTCGTGACCTCAAGGATCTCCCATTCCAACATCCAAAGGTCTCCATACCCAGATGTTCGTGCTGAAATATTTACCCTCTGGTAAACATACAAAAAAGCTATTGAACATTGCCATAGAAATAATGGATTTACCTATTAAAAATTGTGATTTTCCATAGTTCTGTTAGTTTACCAGAGGGTACCTACATTTACCCCCAAAGTGACCCAAATGTAGAAATCCAGAAATTCCAGCACGATGGAGTATATTTCCATGTTTTTTTTACAAAATTTGCTGACATGTTTCCACAGAAAAATTGGGCCACAGCATCCACGGCACCTGATGCTTGGACACCTCATTGGGCGCCGTCAAGCTGCCGCGCCAGTAGACTTTCCGCATCTTCGAGGTCCAGGGGATGGGAACCGGCCCTGGACTGAGGAGCTCCTTGTGGAGGGCCTTCAGGTGGAACCTCCGATTTCACCGGTGCCACAGCTTGAAAAAAAGGGATCCAACATGGACCAAGCAAAGAGATTGGAAAAAAAAAACACTGGGTCATGGAAAACTCATCATGATCGATTTTCTGGTGAAATGTTGCTAGCTTCCCTTTATAAACCGATATATCGTATGATATAATATCCTATATGAATTCCTGTGATATATATATATATATATGTGCATATAATAGCACTCCTTTTTGCTCTGAGCGATCGGTCTCTCATTAGGGTTTCCGAACAAAGGTGCCGACTGTGCCGACCCCCCATTTTTGGCGTCTTGGACGCTTTGGTCACAGGGAAGTCTGAAATCCGCTTTCGACAGATTCGACAAAGCACATGATCACATGAAAGTCTCCGTGGCTGGTCACTGCAACCTTTATGCTGCCACTGATCTCCAGCCTTTCGGGAAGGAAGAATGGCATGTGGCTGAAGGTCACCAACCTGGAGTCGCAAATCAACACGCGTATAACTCATATAACATACTAATCTATTTAAAGCACATATCCATCTCAAACATATTAAAACAATTTATAACATAATATGTTGGAATTGAGACGATCAAAATTCACAGGGCGTATCATATCTACTCTGAAGTATAGTTGACAAGAAAAGCCTGTTTGAACGATTCAAACCTAAGGTGTCTCTTGCCCACTTCTTACAGAGACTAAAAGGAAACGAAACAAATGCCTTCAGCAATTCCGTGGTGCAGCAAATACGTTATCAACGCACCTTTCTCAGCCAAGGCGCCGGTTGGGCAGTTGTAGCTCTCGATTCGCTGGCGAGTTCGCCATCGACTGTGCCACTTGTCGCTCTTCGTCCAAGACACGCCACAGGAGCGAAAGACTGTCGGGGCCGAAGATGTTGGGCAACCTGTTTCAGGGTGCGAAAATGGTGACGCCAGTGGGCAACCTGGACCTTTTTCCTAAATGGGGGATTGCGGAGGAAACATTGGTATTGAATGATATTGAATTGATATGTATTGATATGTATTGATAGTTGATATGTCTTAGCTAAGTTGGTAAACAGTTCACACACACACATATTTACTGTTGGGGTTGATGAGATAACTAGATCGTTAGATGGAGTAACAAAAACGATTTTCGCCAACTGACTAGACACAAACCTGTGCAAACTGTTGGATGCGTGGTTGATAACCCAAGTCGGATGGGTGAAACTCAACAGGTTTATCGTTGGCACTTCTTGATTGTAACCCTTCAAAATCAGGTGATATAGTTCATTGATATAACCGTATAGGGATGTATAGGGGTTCCAAAAAAATATAGAAACGTGTTGCCAAGATGGTAAAAATCATATGTTTCCTCCATAATTTCGAGGTGTCCAACTTTTCTATTCGGGCTCCCTGCGGTACTGTCACGAACCCGTACCAGTGGGTCGACCATCCGAGTTGTATGCCGTATACCTGCCGTATACCTGGGAGGATCATCCCACTTAAATAGTGAATAAGTCCCCAAAGATCCCCAAGTTCTCTGGCTATTTATTAAGAAATGGCTAGTTATTGCCACTATAAATGGCCTATAAATGGCCTTTTTCACTACGGTTACTAACCAGGTTGCAATTCGTGGCTTGATCCTCCCAGGATGAAAACAATCCCCAAAAAGATGCCGCAGCACCAGAGATTTCCGGCGACTGTCACTTCAAGTGACTACATGATATTTACGAAGGGTATATATATATAATAGTTTCCCAACTCTTCCATCTATTTTGGGCTTACAAAACTAAAAGGTGCTTGTTCTGCTAACATCCACAGAACCAACTCGCGCAGAACTGCGGCTCTCCGAGCAACTGTCGTCCCGCCAAAGAGTGATACGGAGCAGTGGCAGCAATAACCACCTGGTGATGGGGAGAGCTGGGTCAAAAATGGCTACTACAACGATGGGATTTCAACCCCAGTTGGTGTATATATATATATATGTAATATGTAAATATATATATATATATAATGTGTATATATATATATATATATATTAAGTGTATATATATATACACGCACAATATATATATATATATTGTGTATATACATATATATATATATGTTTTATGATGATTATATATACATAAGACCCGACATTTATAGGGAATATTTTTTCCCCCTACAACATCCAACAGGGATTCTAAAGCCCATAAGTTGGGATATATATAACTAGGCAGTACAGCTCCTCAAATAATCTAACGACCAACGTACTTTTGAAATCAGGTATTAATGTATTATTTATATATATATATATATATCCAATTATTTGAGTTCAAAAACTGTTGGCAAACAACTATCATGATGAACCATAATTCAAACTGTTTTGAAAAACCATAATTAACCAGGTATTAATTAACCATCCATAATTAACCATAATTAACCAGGTATTAATTAACTAATTAACTCAACAACTGTTACCAAACCACAATAAACTGGTGAAGTCCGGTGGTGAAATCACCTGCAATTTACACTTCAGAAACTACAGGATGCCCCCAGTGAAATGTTTGTTGGTTTACAGCCCCATCTAAATATAGCTATAAGTATCATACACCATTCTTATAAACCAACTTAGCTAACTATGGGGCCCCATCCTGTAGAATCCTAATTCGTTTGAATTCATATGATATGTTCATGAGTGAATCCCGCGTTTGATGCTTAAAGTTGCACTTTGACCCACTTTACCATGCATGATTGTCATGACCATTATCAGCATGTCTCTGGATAAAGTATATCACAATTCATCATCATTATGACCATCATGATATGGTAGAACAGTACAGTATAAACTATAGTACTACCACTATATTTATATTCTACATAGGGATATCCTCAACTATGATCAATAAGATTTGTTTTGGAGCTGCTTTTTGTTTTTTATGATTATCATTCAACCTGCTAGTAATGGAACTTATAAACTTAGCTAGCAAACTGAGACCCCACCTTGCAGGATATTCTCTACTTAGAATACATTGCTAATATTATCCCAAAAAAGACTTGACAACCTGAATGCGTATTAGAAGCTATTAGCAAATCCCCTGCTCAGTGGCTCACTAAGCATCACGAAAAGCTATGGATCCGATATGATCCGATTCCTGTGATCAATGGACCAAATGAGGACTGCGTGGTAACGGGATTGGGATTTAATCTTCAAAAATCCGTGTACTTTTAGCACCATCATCCCATGTATCTCTATGGCTGTTTCAAATCAAGAAAACTGGAGTTTTTTAAGATGTTTGTTTGTCTTGTTAGATCTTGTCAGATAATAGATCCATACTGTACTAGTGGTAAACTAAGATTTTGCGATGGAAAATCACCATGTTTAATGGATAAATCAACTATTTCGATTGGGCCATGTTCAATAGCGAACTGTGACATAACCAGAGGGTATACCTATCTCGCGATCGCCTGAGTATCCACATCAATCTCCAGGAAATTCTCCTTGGACTTGTCGTTGCACGGCACCGGTGGGCGCAAGCGCCACTGCCCAAGAAGTCCCAGGCTGTCCTTGAAGAAAGTCGAAAAGGACAGGGCAAGTAGGACAATTGGGTGTGTCTGAAAATAGTGTACCCCTAAACCCAATGGTTAATGATCATTATCCCTATTAAATGGCTATAATTGGGAATATACCCTATTTTCAGACAAACCCAATTGGGATTTAAGATGATTTAATTGAACATGATGAAACACAACTACAATATAAAACAACTATAATGTGACGCAACCACACAAATCCGATTCTTAAGAATCTGTTTCATACTAAGCTGGTTTATATAACGATGCTAATTATCGTTGAAAAGGTGGGGATATCTTATAGACTACTTATAGACCAATTTATCCGGGGTCCCCCCACATTACTATGGTCAATTTTGGCCCCTTAGGAAATCAACCATTCTGGCCTATTGGTTCATAAATGTTCATAACACGCTCAACGGGAAACAGGGTTTTCTGAACCATTGGATTTTGTGGCTACTCAAAAAAGTGGACAGACCCAGGGGGGTGTCTGGTTGCAGCAGAGGGGGCTAGCTATAAGTAGGGTTCTCGCCCATGTGCAGTTCTTGGTGGGTCGCTGGGTCATTGTGTGGATTGGACTTTTACGAATCACCGCCAGCGCCTTTGGAGCTACTGCTAGTGTGTCTGGGCCACAGGAAGACCACAAACGACTAGTAAGTTGGGGGCCTCCAGTGATGTTTCTGGGTCTACAAAGCCCATGAACCGTAGTTATATCCTCCATAAACCATAGTTAATCAAGTTGGAAGTCAAGTTAGCTATCGTTTGGGGGCCCAACTTTTTTTTGGATGGTGAAACATCTGCAGTTCAGGCCATCCTGGATCCTCTGACCAACACTTTGGCCAGAACTCTTTCGGTAACTCGTATGAACCTTAAGGGGAATTGGTGGCGAACCATCCCCCTGACAACCAACAATCCTCTGTCCCAAAGTCCAGAAACAAATCCAGAACATTACCGTCCCGGTTTGTGTTTTGGCAATATGATAAAATGGGGAAGGGAGGAACAGGATGGCCCCCCCCACTTATGTTTGTTGGTTTATAACCCCATCTAAATACAACTATAAGTATCATACACTATTGTAACTATACTTATAAACCAACTTAGCTAACTATGGGGCCCCATCCTGAAGGGAATATACACAAATCAATTCGTTGGCAAACTCTTCACCAATGTTTACCCAGTTCAAGAATGCCCAAAATGGGTTAAGCATTAATACCGACCAACAGGGAACCTTGCGCTAAGTCACTAGTTTGGTCAAAGCATGTTGGTCAACCTCACGCTCAAATATATATATATATATATATACACATCTTACACAGACTAGATTCGATGTGATAACAGGTAATTGCGACAAATCATCTTCACTATGATGCAAATACATGGAGAATCATGGAAAACTCTCCTGAAACTGATATAGCACTAGGGACACTTTTGGATATTATAATATATATATATATATATTGCTAAGATTACAAACACTTGTGGACTAACAGTATCATGGACAACTATGTCCAAAATGATGGAAGGCTACCGGCCTCCTTGATTCGTTTTCTCATTGCAAACTACGGAACATCCCTTTCAAAAAAACATATAGAACAAATATGAATAAATTCTTCAGAAACATGGAACACAAGAGAACAGTCTGGACAAATACTCTCTGCACTACCAACAATTCGATGTTGGCATGAAAACAACTCCAGCTTCCATTTCAGTCTGGCAGAGAGTAAACACATGCGTAAAACCAATCAATCTGGATTGGTTTTCTTGGAACAAATGCAGGAACCCCCATTCAATTTCATGGGAAAACCATGGTTTCCGGTTAAGATTTTCCCAAGAAAACCAATTCCATATAATCCAACGATGAAATCACGACCAAATATATGTATATAAGTGTGAACAAATCCATGGTTTCCAGTTCATGATCTCATGATGGTCCTTCCTAGCTTAGTATTGGCCCTTTTATTTGGGATCCAAAAACATCCAAAAACTATGACCCACGACCTCCATTTTGGATGCTTCTTCCATGGCGGGTCCCACATCCTGCCATCCTGCGCTGTTCCAAGTGTCGGATCCCAAAGATGTCGTTGACCGCCGATCCAGGGACGCACAGCCCTCCACAAACACGCTAGCCGTTGCGGTACCACCAACCATCCACTCGTGGTCGGCGCCGTCCACTCGGCGCATGGCCAGGGACTCTTGGTCTTCCAGGTCGCGAAGGCCTACGATGTGACACTTCCTGGGAAATTTCGAGGCAACAAGAAGAGAAACATATCTGACATATATATGTATATATACATAAATAAATGTGCAATATATACATATATGTACAGATAAATATGTGTGTATATATGTATAGTATATAATATTATATATCCGTATACATTTTTAGCCCTTTTCACAGTTATAACTGGCTCAGAAAACCTCATTTAAGTGATATTTGTCAGCTTAGTTGCAGGAGTAATTTCATCCCATTTATATCTGTTCAGGATTGTTAAGGGCCATGATGTGTATATATATATATATAATATTATGTATATATATATATATAAAATTATATATAATAATATATAATATAATATATATATATATTGTATATATATATATGGCGGTTTGCAGCTGGGAAAATCATCGAACAAAATGGAAGGTTTTCCACTGCCATGTTTGACTACCGGATTGTATATATATATATATATACACATATCTGTATATACATACTTAAGGAATAGTATATCTACATCGTCTAAACAGTTGGAAAATCTGATGGTGATTCATTTTACTTGCGAAGTAGGTCATATACCCAGTTGCCACCACTTCACGTTGCAGGTGTTTAGAAAAATAAGGCCCAATCATATGCTTGAGATGAAATGTTGAATCATCTGGCTGGATTAAAATATTCCACCATCGTGACAAACCCTGAAGTGAGGCCATGATTGGGGCATTCCCCTGCTAATCATCGTCATATGGTAATGGTGATATCATTTTAGGTGCTTATATATCCGCCGACCCCGGCCTTTGCCAAGGCCGGGGCGGCGCCTGGGACCACCGGAGGTGTGGATCCTGTCTTTCTTGAACCCTTGCCACGCCCAACGCTGCAGGCAAAAGCCACCACAAGGCCACAGCAATGGCTCAAGAGCACCCCACGGCCGCAGCAATGGCTTCTTATAGGCGTTCAAGGCTGCCGTTTGCCAGGCCTCAAACCCTCCAAACCCTCCAAAAGTCCGCCCAGCTCCGCAGGGAAAAGGTACCCCAACAAGCCCAACACGCACGCACAAGCCACCCAAAGGCCACAGCAATGGCTGAAGGGCAGGCCATGGCCGCAGCAATGGCTTCTTATAGGCGTTCAAGGCTGCCGTTTGCCAGGCCTCAAACCCTCCAAACGCTCCAAAAGTCCGCCCAGCTCCGCAGGGAAAAGGTACCCCAACAAGCCCAACACGCGCCACTCCCGCATGCAAAAGCCACCACAAGGCCACAGCAATGGCTCAAGGGCACCCCACGGCCGCAGCAATGGCTTCTTATAGGCGTTTAAGGCTGCCGTTTGCCAGGCCTCAAACCCTCCAAACGCTCCAAAAGTCCGCTCAGCTTCGCAGGGAAAAGGTACCCCAACAAGCCCAACACGCGCCACTCCCGCACACAAAAGCCACCACAAGGCAACAGCAATGGCTGAAGGGCACCCCCCGGCCGCAGCAATGGCTATAAGGGCCTCTTATAGGCGTTCAAGGCTGCCGTTTGCCACGCCTCCAACGCTCCAAAGGATCCAAAAGTCCGCCCAGCTCCGCACGGAAAAGGTACCCCAACAAGCCCAACACGCGCCACTCCCGCACGCAAAAGCCACCACAAGGCCACAGCAATGGCTCAAGAGCACCCCACGGCCGCAGCAATGGCTTCTTTTATAGGCGTTCAAGGCTGCCGTTTGCCAGGCCTCAAACCCTCCAAACCTTCCAACTCCTCCAAAAGTTTGCCCAACTCCGCAGGGAAAAGGTACCCCAACAAGCCCAACACGCGCGACGCTCGCAGGCAAACGCCACCACAAGGCCACAGCAATGGCTCAAGGGCACCCCACGGCCGCAGCAATGGCTTCTTATAGGCGTTTAAGGCTGCCGTTTGCCAGGCCTCAAACCCTCCAAACCTTCCAACTCCTCCAAAAGTTTGCCCAACTCCGCAGGGAAAAGGTACCCCAACAAGCCCAACACGCGCCACTCCCGCATGCAAAAGCCACCACAAAGCCACAGCAATGGCTCAAGAGCACCCCACGGCCGCAGCAATGACTTCTTTTATAGGCGTTCAAGGCTGCCGTTTGCCAGGCCTCAAACCCTCCAAACCTTCCAACTCCTCCAAAAGTTTGCCCAACTCCGCAGGGAAAAGGTACCCCAACAAGCCCAACACGCGCCACGCCCGCAGGCAAAAGCCACCACAAGGCTACAGCAATGGCTCAAGGGCACCCCACGGCCGCAGCAATGGCTTCTTATAGGCGTTTAAAGCTGCCGTTTGCCAGGCTCAAAGCCTCCAAACTCTCCAAAAGTCCGCTCAGCTTCCCAACACGCGCGACGCTCGCAGGCAAAAGCCACCACAAGGCCACAGCAATGGCTCAAGGGCACCCCACAGCCGCAGCAATGGCTTCTTATAGGCGTTTAAGGCTGCCGTTTGCCAGGCCTCAAACCCTCCAAACGCTCCAAAAGTCCGCTGTGTGGATCCTGTCTTTCTTGAACCCTTGCCACGCCCAATGCTGCAGGCAAAAGCCACCACAAGGCCACAGCAATGGCTCAAGAGCACCCCACGGCCGCAGCAATGGCTTCTTTTATAAGCGTTCAAGGGTGCCGTTTGCCAAGCCTCAAACGCTCCAAACCCTCCAAAAGTTCGCCCAGCTCCGCAGGGAAAAGGTACCCCAACAAGCCCAACACGCGCCACTCCCGCACGCAAAAGCCACCACAAGGCCACAGCAATGGCTCAAGAGCACCCCACGGCCGCAGCAATGGCTTCTTTTATACGCGTTCAAGGCTGCCGTTTGCCAGGCCTCAAACCCTCCAAAACCCTCCAAACCCGCCAAAAGTCCGGCCAGCTCCGCAGGGAACAGGTACCCCAACAAGCCCAACACGCGCCACTCCCGCACGCAAAAGCCACCACAAGGCCACAGCAATGGCTCAAGGGCACCCCACGGCCGCAGCAATGGCTTCTTATAGGCGTTTAAGGCTGCCGTTTGCCAGGCCTCAAACCCTCCAAACGCTCCAAAAGTCCGCTCAGCTTCGCAGGGAAAAGGTACCCCCCCGGCCGCAGCAATGGCTAAGGGCCTCTTATAAGCGTTCAAGGCTGCCGTTTGCCAGGCCTCAAACCCTCCAAACGCTCCAAATCCTCCAAAAGTCCGCCCAACTCCGCAGGCAAAAGGTACCCCAACAAGCCCAACAGGCGCCACGCCCGCACGCAAAAGCCACCACAAGGCCACAGCAATGGCTCAAGGGCACCACACGGCCGCAGCAATGGCTTCTTTTAGGCGTTCAAGGCTGCCGTTTGCCAGGCCTCAAACCCTCCAAACCTTCCAACTCCTCCAAAAGTTTGCCCAACTCCGCAGGGAAAAGGTACCCCAACAAGCCCAACACGCGCCACGCCCGCAGGCAAAGGCCACCACAAGGCCACAGCAATGGCTCAAGGGCACCCCCCGGCCGCAGCAATGGCTTCTTATAGAGGTTCAAGTCTGCCATTTGCCAGGCCTCAAACCCTCCAAACCCTCCAAATCCTTCAAACTGATCCGTGTCCATTTGGCCGCAGGGTGCAACTTCTCGCTGCTTGAGAAGCAAACGGCCATATGTCTGTCTTGCTGTCCGTCTCCCTCTCTCTCTCTCTACAGTACCCCCCCTCCAATTAGGGGGGTCGGCGGCACCTGGGCGCTAGCCCATTCTATTATATATATATATATGTGATTCAACCAAAATCATTGGTCTTGCTTGAGCCAATAGTCCGACTGTGATTTACCTACTTTATGGTGATTCATCGTACAGTAGAAGGGTCTGACAATTGGGTACCGTCCAAACACCATGTTCCCCACGTTTCTAATCGAATGGCCAATATTAGACGCCTAAAACACAAAAACATCAATGTTAGAGCTGGTTGGTGAATAGAGCTAGAGTTTGCTGGAAAAAAAAGATCTCTTTTCGCCATGTTTGATGACACCAGACGGTATCCCGTGTTTCTTGTGACTGGGATAAGTAGGCCGGTGCTTTAAAAGAAATATGGTGACGTCGTTTACTGAGCGCCTTGCACAAACAAGAATTGGCACAGATAATCAAATGCGCCTTTAAGCACTTTGCCATTAAAGTCTAGCTGGTGGTTGGGCCACCTCCTCAAAACAATGCCCGTCATCGGGGATCATCCCCTATTATACAAATAAGGTAGAACATGTGTCAAGATATTTTGAAACCACCAGAAATCATCAGAAATCTATGGCTTTCCACCAATTGATGCCTGGTTTCTGCCCAGATATCGTGTGGAGTTGGTCCAACCCAACAAAAATGCCATCGTGCATCAAAGACCAAGCGACCAAGGGATATGGCTGCTAAACCCAGTTGGTTGATGATTAGTTCGGGGATTATACTTAATTACCAACAAACTTGGGGGATAATTAATAATCACAATCCATGAGTGGAATCCCATTCTCAACTAACCAGCTTTTGAAGGGACGAAAAAGTGCGAGTTTAGCAGCCAAATACATCCCGTCACATACCCAAAGAGGTGGGTATATGTCGTGCATCATATCTCAAAAATAGGCTAATCCATCCGCATCAACAGATACTTTCCACTTTCCACAAAAAGCGTTTGCTACGGCAAATGGACCATTTATGTACCCGGCCTGGTAAACATACAAAAAGCTATTGAAAATTGTGATTTAGCTCGTGGATTTACCCATTAAAAATTGTGTTTTTCCATATAGTTATGTGGCAACGTTTACCAGAGGGTTTTTTGTTTACCGTGCTTAAAGCTGGGTGGATTTTTTCCAGTTCGCAAAGTGTTCGTCATTACCAGTATCGGGATTCTGCCCAGGTTCTGGCCATCGGTCAGGGAATACTTCACCGAAAAGATTTCCACCTTGAATTTGTTGCTACAACAGTCCACCATCTGCCTGGGACACGGAGAGCTGAAGGTGGCCAAAAAGGGAACCCTTTTGGGGCCTGGTTGATGTTACTCCATTGATATCATTTAGCTAACCAAGTAGACTATGTATCCACGTGGTCTAGATTATTTATGATGTATAGAATGGCCAAAGAAACCTATACAGTTACAGAGTTATATAATGGACAAAACCAACTTAGTAGACGAACATTGGGGCCCATTTGGGGGGAAGTTCTGCAAAGCAGTGTCAAACCAGAGAATCCACATCAAAAGTGGGTCTTGTGATAGAGATACTTCATGGGATACCCTCCGTTGTCCTCAAACGTCGCTGGCTGGAAAATCCCCGAACTAAACGGATATTACTTTAAAGCTGGGAAAATCGTCAAACGGAATAGTGGATTTACAGCAAACAACGTTTGATTACTGGAAGGTGTGTTTGACAATTTTCTGTTTGAGAAGCTCGTATATGAACAGTTTCCTCAAAGTGTTGCAGTGGAAAAATCTTGCAATTCAAGGGTGGTTTACCACTGCAATGTCAAAGATCACCATCGCAAATACGCAGTGCTACATATATACCACCTGTGTAATAGTTGTGTACTTGGTACTACCTGTGTAAATATATATATATGCAAATCTACGAACCAAGAATAGGAGTATCAACTAATAAAATGGATATGGAGCTGGAGGTAAATACATTCTATGTTTTAAGTAATAGGTTGCATGCACCAAAAAAAACTATCAAAACCAATGGGATTACAAGTGAAAACAAATAACAAAAAGGGCTAAACAGTAAACACGAAAGACAAGATGTGTCCAAAGGACTCTGGTCCATATTTTATTTGAGGAGCTATGTTTAAGATCTATAGGAAATTGAGTTTATATTGCTTATTCAGTCAATCCCAAGTCAGACGATTCATAATGTACTGTAGTAGTTTCTCAACTTTAAAATTTCAAGTATAGTGTTTTGAGAATTTCACTTTAAGGCTTTAAGGAAAACACATAAGAAAACTATGGGTTTTATTCAACAAATAAACTATATAGTATTGTTGTAAAATGCAAATATTGCACATATATTTTGTATACAAAATAAAACAAAACCATTGAACAAACACATGAAAACACGGCAAAACACACACCCACATAGCATCCTGCTCTTGAAACAAAACAGATTCAGCTAGTGAACGGCTTACCAACTGAGCGAACATCGCATTTTTTCTTGGTTAAGTCCTCATTTTCATGCATTTTCTCGATGTTTGATATAAGTATCAACCATAATTATTGCAAACACATATGTCACCATTGATCCCCATTGAATCCCTATAGCCTACCCTTTGGTAAACATACAAAAAACTATGAAAAAAAACACTATTTTTTAATAGGCAAATCAACGAACTTCTATGGCCATTTTCAAGTTCGCAAACTGTTAGTCATTACCAGAGGGTATCCGTATCCCAAGAAATCACCACTGATAATCATTAAATATCATGATTAACCACTGTCATTCATTATCATTGTAAATATATGGTATACAATGCTAACTAATGGTTATATATATATGTAGTATATACATGTATATACTGGTATGAATAAACCATTGATCCCCATTGAATCCCTATAAAATCCCATGAAATCATTGTCCCCACGTGCCGACTTCACCGGGCCCCAGGTATCCCAGGTGTGGTGCGTTTGAAACGCACGCGCCGTGGCCGCGGTCGTGTCCGGATTCAGCTGGACTTCGGGGCCGTGGTGCGACTCATCGCCCAAGAGGTCCGTGAAGGCCACACCTCCCTGTCGCCGTTTTTTACGGGATTTCATGGGTATTCATGGTTTTTGTTACCCATAGGATCCATATACCCCAAATGTTAGCATATATACCAGGATCCATGGTGCTGCTATATATGGTAACCATAGTTCCTTTTCCCAGCTAAAATCCTCCATTTAGTTCGGAGATTTGAACAAATTGCCAGATTTGATTGCCAGAGGATATCCCATAGGATCCATGTATGGTATATATGGTGCTCCATGGATCCCATCAATATAGCCCAGTCATGTTAGCATATATACCAGCACCATGGATCCTCTGGGTTATACCTAGTTAATGGGAATTTCATGGGATTTGATAGTGATCTAATTGAGGATTCTATGGATTTGATAGGGATTTCAGTTCGGGGTTCGACATTTATAAAGATTTAACGGGATTTAATGGGGTTTAATTTAAATTTCAATTTATGATTTAAACTAATCATGATGGTTTATGATACTTAAACTGAACTAGTTAACGGGCTTCGCGGCTTCACCCTAGATGGGCCTGGATTAGCTGGTTAGTTTGCCTAGGTTAGTATAACCCGATGATAAATATCCAGTGATACACCTATCATTCCAATATCATACAGGTAGTGTATGGCCCTGAACAATTTCAACTGGGATGAAATAGGATATAACTCCTGCAACTAAGGTGAAAAATGTCACTTGGAAGAGACTATGAGCCAGTTATAAGTGTGAAAAGGGGGGCCGAAAAACACGATAGCTGAGTTGATGCACAGTTCACTTAGTCAAGGTTTGGGTAAACATGGAGGACAGTTCACGAACGTTGCCATTTTTTTTGAGGGCCCACCCTGGGATCCAACCATCATGGGGACTGAATCAAGAAACAATGGCGAATGATATCGAATTATATTTGATTAGTGTTGGCGAATGGTTGGTCAGCAAGTTCACTAGTTGAACTTGATTGTTTCTTCGTGTATAGATGTATATATATATATATTATAGATATGAACTAGACAATGGGGTGTCTTAATGAACAAGCATAGCTGAAAGGGGAACTTACCTTGTAAAAGCCAGCTCACCCCGCTTACTGCTGGACATTGCCCCCACCCTACTTATACTTAAGGTTATAAGCTACTTCACACTGGGGTGGTTTACCAATTCATTTTGTTTTTGTGCGGGTAATCACGAGATAGTATGACTGTTACATATATCATATATATATGTATGTGAATACACACAAAGCTATGTATATATATACACACACATACACATAGCTATGTATATATATATATATATGCATAGCTATATAGGATTAGGTGTATACATATATATATATATATACATGTATGTATATATATATATATATATATATATATACATATCATGTATACAAATATATGTGTTTACGACATATTCCACTTGTATGGGTTGTATACGGGCTATAAACCACTTACTACCTGGGTGCAGTTCCATGTGACCAAGAAAAATGGTGAAATATGGGGAAACATGGCCCTTTGGTCAGCCAAAATTTACGAAGAAAAACATGGTTTAGTATCGGCCCCAGTGTCACTTTTCACCCCCAAAAGGAGTATATATGATCGTCGGATGAGACTAAAAAGGGGAAACAGTGGAAAAACATGTGTTCAAATTCTTGGATTCTCCCAAGAAAGCAGAGGGGGCATTTCAGCAGATGAACCCAAGCAGTACAACCAACACATATTGTTTTTTACGGGGTATTCAGAGATTCATGGATAATATAATTCCCTCACGGTAGACCTAAGGAGTTTTCCTTGAATCGATGGGGTCAGACTGGATATATTTTCTCACATTCCCCATATTTCTGTGGCTGAAAACCCCCCTGATGATCCCACAACTTGCACTAATTGACGATTACTTCGATATCTTACTTCATGACTATTTCGATATATCAAAAAACTGGAGAATACATGAATACACTGACATGCATTCCGCTGTTCCTATCTTTTCCCCTTAAAATGTGCGCAGAAAAAACTACAGCCTTCCCGCCTTTCAGTGAGGTGCCCGTGCGCAGTAGCATGGCTGCCAGCTTGGGGCTATGGTCCTCCAGTCGCATTGCCACATCCAGGCGCACCACGGCATCGCAGGTCAATTCCAATAGCGACGTGGTCGCGCTCAGCTGGACCTACGGCGTGGTATGAAGTTTGAACCATTCTGAGAATGGTTTGAAGTTTGAACCTATTAAATTCATACTTAAGTAGTTTAAAAAAATATATAGATTCATGGTTCAAAATAGATTTATGATGATAATTGTTTTTAATGGTGTATAACCCATAGGATCCATGTATGGTAAATATGCTAACATTTGGATACATTTGGGATATATTGATGGTAAATGTTACCATATATAGCAGCACCATGGATCCTATGGGTAATGGTATATCAATGCGGATGGTGGCTTCCGGGAACCCTAAACCCCTTGATACGGACTGCAGGACTGCAGATAACAATGATGGCAATGAGAGATCCCCATCAAAAATGGAGCCTATATATATATGGTTGGTGGTTGACCTACCCCTCAAAAAAACAAAAGTCAGTTGGGATTATTATTCCCAATATATGGACCAAAAAAAAGATGTTCCAAACCACCAACAAGATATATATATATATATACATATGATGTATATATTGGAAACACAATCTGTAAATATCTGTTAATGGGGATTTTCCCTTGTTTTGATGTGTTTTTTTGCACGTCGATGCTTAACAGGTCAATTCCGGCACGGAATTGCTGGCTAATTTTCCCAGGTTTGCTGGCTGTCAAAACTACTGTCAAACCTCTAAAACAAATCATACCCTGCAACGAATAAAAACCACGGCGATACCCAATTAAGGTTTACCCAGGATACTTCCATGGTTTCCCGCCGTGTTTCTTCCGACCTGTTTGTCACTCTCACGGATCTTGGAAGCGACTTGGTGTTTGATCAATGCGTCCGCCATGAGGAAAATGAAGCTCGCAGCCACCAGGAAATAGAGATTCCAAGAAACAAGAGTTCGCTCGGCCCCTAGTTGTTGATGTTTCTGAAACACCGGTTGAAGAAAAATCCCACCATGTGTGTCTGAAAATTGGGTATACCGCCAAAATTGGCAAAAACATATGTGGGCTATAATTTCTCATGATTAAGGCGGCAAATCACTACCACAAATGCTACAATTGACATCAATTCACCAGTTGGTCACCTCACCTGAAGAAAAATGTGACGGTTGATTCTTTCGCGGCAAAAAACATGTTCCAACACAAATTGAGAACATGTCCCAACAAATGTGGTTCAACGAACGGCAAAAAAGGATATGCTATAGTATCAAGTAAAACATGATTTAGTACGATAAAAAATGATCAATATAGGTAAGGTGATATAACATGAAATAAATCACGTGACTATACTTGATATAATGGTATAAAACGAGTCAATATCATGTCAAATGAAATGAACCGTTGTTGAAACTCATCGTTTTCGCTAAGCTCCCGAAAAAGCGGGCATCGTTTTCTTTTTTTTGGTGTGTATTGCTATACATGGCTTTCTATGTTTGAGGGAAAGGAACAGATCTACATAAAGAAAAAAAACGCAGGAAAGGAAGAGGGACGGAAAAGGACAAAAAAAGAAAAGGAAAAGGAAAGGAAGAAGAAAGGAAGAAAGGGACAGAAGAAAAAAAGGAAAGGGACAGGAAGAAGAAAGGAAAGAAAAGGAAAGTAGGAAAGGGTCTATTGTGGTCTTGGGTTACTTTTTGAACAAATGGGTTTCGGTAAGGTATCGCTTAGTGGTATCGTTTATTTTGCCTCTTACATGTATCGCCTTCGGGGGGATAAGGTGCACTTCCCGTCCCAGACAAGAGAGAACTCTCCTTACGAATAAGTAGTATACCAGAGTTTTGACCGGATCTCAAATATAATGAAACAATGTGGATACAATTTGATACAAGTTGGAATTTAATAAAAGAATGAAACTTATATAAACTGTTATAAAATGTTTTGGCATGAACAAAGGCAAAAATAACATAATTATACAGAACATATGCACAATACGATATAGTAGTATGCAACTATCAATGTCGTTTGCACATCATTCATGGCTGATGTATATACTCATAACTAGGTCGTTTGCTGGGTACATCTTCGTAAAGTTTTCCAGACATGGAATGTTTGAGTCTTATCTGTATATGCCTTTGGGGCACTGCGAGCATCGCTAACCAGACTTTCAAGGTGGTGCCTCACAGTTAGCTCAGTTGCTTCAGGGGCCCTGCATCAAACGAACGATATAGTTACTTCATCACCGGTACCATCATCCGAAAGTGAAATCTTAGAATATGTGCGACATTGTGTGACAAAGAAATTGCCAACGAACTGGATCACCTCTTGGCATGACAACTATGTTGACTGGTGAAGAACCGATTCATGCAATGTGAGGCCCCCGTTAGATCGCTAAGTTGGTTTATAACTCCAATGTCACTATGGTTTATAGTACTTATAACTATAGTTACTGGGGCTTTTGTTAACCAACTTACATCACTGGGGGGCCTCACATTGTGAGTTTTGAAAGTGCACAGCCAATCGAAAATCGACAGGGTAGAGTCGAACCCCCCGAATTCATCAACAGGGGTAGTTAATGGTACCCTCTGGTGATGACATAGCCATGGAAGCCATGGCCCATAGAAATAGATGGTTTACCTATGAAAAAATATTGAAAAATGGTGATTTTCCATGGCTGTGTTAAATAAGCAGATGGTAATTATTGAACAGTGCTCACCAAACGCATGTAACTGGTCTGCATCCAGGTTTCTCTGTGAGCCTGACACATCTTCACAGAGTCCCACACCCAGGTGTTCGGAGTAGGCTCTGTAGGTGCACATGACCATCAGAGCTGCTTGACCCAGCACGACCGAGCACAAACGTGTTGGCACAACTGTTGCGGGGATCGACACGGCGACAAAACCTGGAATTCTCCAAAGAGATCCGTCACTAGCGTTTCATGGATGGTGTGATTACCTGCCGAAATTTCCTGACTGTTTTGGTTGGTGACAATGGATTAGGTTTCGATTGGCTTGCGACAATGCAGGAAACGAAGTGTCTTATGTTGAAACTGGTTCCCATGTGTCAGGTGAAGGTCTCGATCTAGGTTTTAACAAAGCATACACACCACCGCGCACCTATGCCAGATACCTTCTTGCCATGCGTGTCGCCACCTTGTTTGCCAGCTTCTGCTACACAGCCACTCTATAGCGAGCTCGCTAGCTGTCTGGGGCGCACAGGACCCGAACCCTCTATGGTGAGCTTGCCAGTTCTGTGGCGGCGCGCCGGCCCCGATATTGCGAGCTGGGTCTCTCGGGCGTGCCGGACATGAACCCGATATGGCGGGGGCTTGCCGGACCCGAACTGTAGGTGGCGAGCTTGCCAGGTCTCGATAGCATGGCATAATGCCAGAATGTATGTCAGACACGAATGCCAGATAGAATGATAGAGAACATATGTCAGATAGAATGTCAAATAGAATGTCAAAAAAAGTCTCAGAGAAGATGTGAGCTAGTAAAGTATGTCAGAATAAATGTCCGATACGGAGGCCAGATAGAATGACAGAAAACATGTCATGAGCAGAACATATGTCAGATAGGGAGTCTTTCCGATAGAATGTCAGAGCAGATATGACCTAGTATGCCAGAACTGATATGTTAGATGGCATGCAACACTAAATACCAGATAACATGCCAGAATATATGTCAAATAGAATGTCAGATACAATGCCAGGTAGAATGTCAGATAGACTGTCAGGGAAGACGTGAGCTGCCAGACCAGAATATATGCCAGGTAGAATGTCAGATAGACTAAACGAGTATGTCAAGATATATGCCATGGTGGGAATTACACGAAGCGACTTAGTTTAGGTTTTCTGATGTTGTCTGTTTTTCAAATCAATCAATCCATTGCAAAAAGAAGCATGAAGAAAGAACCATGAACCAACCAATAAGGGAACTAAGAGGACAATATCAACCACAATAAGGAATAGTGGGGATACGGTGGTACAGTAATTTAGTCTAGGGACGGAAAATCTCCCTTTTAAGGAAAAACATGCAAGTAAAAAAACCCTTTTCCATAGCTATGTTGATACAAACGAAAAGAAGGCAAAGGCGTGCTACAGTATAAAACAATATCCATTGGTGGTAGCCGTGTAGGATACGAAAATCCGCCGGCTCCTCCCCTCCCCTCCCTCCCCCTGCTTTTACTACTACTACTACTACTACCACTACTACTACTACCACCACCACCACCACCACCACTACTACTACTACTACTACGACTACTACGACTACTACGACCACCACCACCACCACCACTGCCACTGCCACTGCCACTGCCACTGCCACTGCCACTGCCACTGCCACTACCACTACCACTACTACTGCTACTGCTACTGCTACTGCTACTACTACTACTACTACTACTACTACTACTCTACTGGCACTAGCAGTCACTGGCACTGGCAATACGACTACAACAACTACTGCTACTACTAATAAGCGTACTACTCCTACTACTGCTTCCACCTCTACTACTCCTGCTACTGCTACTACTTCTACTCTTACCACTCCCACTCCTACTCCTACTCCTCCTCCTACATTCTTCCCTGACTACTGAACCGGTAGTGCCGGTAGTTTGTGAAGCTGTCTACAATACTACAGTTGTCACAGGATGCACGCGCTACTAAACTGATCGACTGGTACTAATTTGGTATGCGGTCAGTAGGCTGTTACGCTAAGAAGTTGCTACACAAGCTGCTTGTGCTCTACGGCTCTGTCTCCATCTGCTCTTCTCCTCTTCTCCTCTTCTCCTCCTCTCCTCGTCTCCTCTTCTCCTCTTCTCCGTCTCCTTGTTATTCTTATTATTATTCTTGTTTGTGCTCTCGTTCTTCTTTTTTCTTGGTTTTCTTCTTTTTCTTCTGTTCTCTTCTGCTCTCTTCTCTTATGCTTCTCTCTCCCGATTCAGCTAGCGTATCAAAGTCCCTGAGGCCACCTCTCTATGGCCGGCGTGCTTGCTGCTGGCAATTGACTAGGTCTAGATCACCCTCCAATTCTTACGTTTGTCAGTGCCCCCCAACGCAACATGTTCGATAGATATATAGAGCCAACAGTGATTGGAGGCATAAACCAGGTTTGCTAAGGAACTCGGGCACATGTTTATCGGGACAGAACATGAAGAACATTGTGGATGGGTCGGAGGCTATGAAATTACCATATTTTAGGGAATAAACATCCATAAATCCCAGCTAGTTTACAGGCACAATGTTTTGACTAATCCGTTCCTCCTAATACTAAACGTCCCACAAATACTAAAAACAGGCGTCCATCTCCAATTTCAGAAAATTACAGATTGGCCAATTTGATTTTTAATTGATCCCTTCTAGAAAACAATTTAAAAATCAACCTACCATTTGTGGGTTTCCCCCCCCTAATATTAAAAACTAGTTCACCCCGGGGTGTTTATTGTTAGGGTACGTCCGATTTTTTGTTTTTTATATTAAGTTTAAGGCTTTTATTTTAGTATTAGGGGGAAGCATCGAAATCCAATTTTTGCCAATATTTTAATTGCGATATATAAAGAAATTTAATTGATTTTGAGATCGGAAAAAATAGTTTTTATTATTAAGGGTTTAATCTTATTAATAGGGTTCCCTAATAATAAATACCCCCCTAATACTAAAAACTACCTGCCGTGCTTAGTAATAGGGGGGGGGGCGGCGCTTAGTATTAGGAGGAAGGGATTACTTGAATAAAACCAAGCCATGGCACCCATGAAGCTATAGGACAAGGTGTGATCTGCACTAGATCCCAAAGGCGAAGTCAGAAAGAGCAACAAAAGCCTGTCGGATTTAAGGTGACCAGGCTGCGACCATCAAATGGCCTGTAACATAGACCCTATTGCCGTAAACCCAATGCCATAAACCTACCATAAACGGGGATGGTTGGAAAACACCCATAGAAATGGATATGTTTGGCATGGTTTGTTATCGGGTTTACCACATTACAGTAGATTCCCCATGTATCCCGGTGGATTTACGAATGAAAGAAATAAAAAATCTGCGCGACTCAACAAATCTCACCAGTGGACAGGATAAACAAGTAGTGAAAGTCCAAAGACATGCTCTTGCCAAACTGTGGGCAGTGCAACATACACCTGGTGGTTGCTAGCTTCAAGCCCCTTGCAAACAAGTGATTGTGATCAGGGATCATCATCCCTCAACAAAAATAATGTGACAAACCCAAAAATAAACCTATTGTTTGGGATGTGCATACAACCCATGCATTGCAATTTCGGGGATGGTTGATTATCGGGGTTACCACATTACACTTGTTAGTCATTGTATCCGCATCATCATCCCAAATACAATCTGGTACTCAAAGAACGTGACAAAGAAGAAACCTCTGTTTATAGATGTATTTTACAAGTATAAAATGACAATCTATAGGGGACGTCCCAGCTAGATGGTAGGGGAGAAAAGAAAAACAATGATTGAAACCAGCAGCCAGATACAAAATTGGCAACTGGTAAGCGAGCAAGACCCACGAGCCCCGAATGTCAATCCATCGTGGTCGTCCAATGGATATCTGGTAAACCACTGCGATCAGGGCAAGGTTCACGGCGGCTAAGAAATACCAGTCCATCATTCGAGCATACACCACCTTCCTGGCATGTGCCTGGTCCAGCAAATATCTCCTTAGGAAAAACACGACAGATGGACCCTACAAGGTGCTCCCAGGGTTTTTGATGTCTCGCAAGGTTGTTACCTGTTTCCCCACCTAACGATCAAACTAGTGCATCGCCGCAAACCCTATTTATATTACAAGTATTATATGTATATATTTAAAGAAGGATGGGCCCCGTAGTTAACTAAGTTGGTTTAGAACTACAATAACAAAACTGTATGATACTTATATTTAGATGGGGTTATCAACCAACTTATAACTGGGGGGGCCATCCTGTATATGTATATAATATATATTTATATATATATATAGATTTATTTATTCATTTGTTCTTTTATTCATTTATTCATTTATTTATTTATTTTTGTTTATTTATTTATGTGTACATATATGGTGGTTGATCAAGATTCCTTCATCCGGGAACGTCCATTCTTCGCGAATAAAAAATATCGTTCGCGAAGCTTTCGCGAACTCCATGCTTATCTTTCACGGAACCAATGTTGAGCAACAACTCCTCTTATGAAAATTCATTCAGCACCTGCCGAATCACACCAAGTTATCAGATAATTTCGTCATAGCCTTGTAAACATGCAGCTAGCATCACGCAATCCCCTTCTCAGGACAGGTTGTTATTGATTAGGCTATTTTTTTCGCAAGGCTTGCAATGCACTTTGGCTTTCGCCCAGCCCTTCGCAGAACTTTCGCGAAAATACCCCTATCCGCAGACCCAGCCATCAGCAGGGGGCGCAAAGGAACCGCAACCGCCAGGGGCCTTGGTGTTTGGCTCTCGCAAAGCCTCACCTTCGGAAGCTTGGCTACCTATGAAGGGAAAGGTATAAATGTGCGGGTACCATTCTCCTGCCGGACCCCGGGCGCTAGGGCCTCCAGGGCGGCAGGAGGTGGTGGCCCTGAACAAGCTGTAATGTACTATACAATGACCCATAGGATCCATGTATGCTATATATGGTAACATTTACCATCAACATACCCCAAATGTTAGCATATATATATATACCATACATGGATCCTATGGGAATGATAATGATTCATAGTATCCAACTTTCGCGAAACTTTCGCGAATGGAACATGATCTTTCGCGAACTCGAAAAAAACTGTCGCCAGGGTTTCCAACATAACATGCACGGCTTTCGCAATTAAAACTCCTTACAAATAGGCGACCTTGAGACCTCAAGTATCAGCGAATGTGGCTGCAAGGATTCCTGGGAAAATGACACCCTACCAACGTATTCATAATGGTTTAGGATTGTTTGCGTGCTATGACTGGCTATGACCAAAACAATATGGGCAAATACAACTAACTATATTTGTTTCAAGTTTCAAGTGGTCTGAATCATCCGGTTGATTCGAGATATCCAAGGAGCACAAACTGCGGCTGGTTTCCATCCAAGTATCAAAGTCAATTTGCCTCATCATTGCATACTTATGGATGAGAAGTGAAGGACTTACTGGTGCTAAACGCAGGGAATGGATGGGTTGCTGGGGGTTGCTGGGATGATGACATTACTAGTGATGACATGGATCATTCCCGAAAATTCCCTGCGTTTAGTTCGCACCAGTAAGAGGAATATGTGAAGGAAAGCACCAACTGGATCATCCAGCTGCCTTCATCACGGCAGCATCTTTCATACCATTTATGGTGCCCCTCCCAGTTATAAGTTATAAACCAAAGGAATAGTATAGTAAGTATAGATATATCTACCATAAACCATAGTGAAATTGGCGTTATTTGCACCAACTTAGCTAGGTAATGCTAAATATGGGGCACCACCTTGTATCATTTATGACACACATATCTAAATAACAACTACTCAAGCAAAATGCTACTGCCCCATGTTAAACGTTTTGTTTATGTTAAACTATGTTAAACTATGCTAAACCCAATGCTTGATATCTTAGTGAACTGTTTGCCAACAAGTCGCGAATCCAAACTCATGGGGCACTGGCTTAAGCATTATATGCTATCAAATAGCGCATAACCAATACCAACAGTGTTGATATATCCCAAAAAATATCCCATAAAGTATCCACAAATTTGTGTCATTGCTGTAAATCACTACTTTTTGCCATGTTTCTGATATGGATCAGCCCCAGATGGTGCCCGTGACGATGTTGACCGTGAGCAGATCGAGCGGAATGTCCCTGCGATCGTCTCCATCCAGCGGAGGCTTGCGGAACGAAGCTGCGACAAGCATAAGCTGACCGCGGACGAACGCACCACGACGAAGAGGCTCAGGATCAAGGCCATACCTCACTCTGCAGTACCCTTTACCATGCCAATAGGCTCAACAAAAACATCATGTTTGATGGGTTGATTTCATGATCTATAACCTTTGCTATATAAGAGTTATATCTACCTGAACCTCCCATTGGTACACAAAAATGTGTACCATTTTTTTTCTGCCCGATTTCAAAAAATGTGCCCGTTTAAGGGTCTGAAAAAAAAAGGTGTCCGAAGTTCCGTGGCTCTCCATAGTAATCAACCTGATTCTTTCTCCAAAGGCTCGATAGGACACTTTTGTCACGCGCTAATGCATGTGCAGCATGCCAAATACGACCTCGAACAGCCACGCCTGACAACATGGGTTGCATCGCAGCACATGTAAACAACCGAGCTTTGGACAGGGTAAATCTAAAGTATCCACCTCAACATCACGTATGTTTTTCATAGGCCAAGATACCTCCAGCAAACAACCTTCAGCTATAGCGCAATTTTCACAACACCACATCAACAGTCGGGCATTATTTTTTCACACGAAGAATCCTCATGCAGGGCGTTCAACATTCAACATTCAACACAAAATCACCACAGTCACAACAAACAAGTACATAACAGTGACATAACATATAAAAGATGAACACTACACGCGGCAAAATCCAGAAACATGCGCACCGGGAGTCCAAGTAAAACGGAAATGAAGCCATTCCATGAATTAAACGGTGCGATGGAAGAATTGGCTAGGCTCAGACTGAAACAACATGCCCCCCACAAGCTCAAGACCACATGGCGGCGCCTTCTCTTCGGACCATGCCTTCTGTTCGGACCATGCGTAAAAAGGGTTTTCAAAAACACGCGACACGTCATGACGGTCAAAACAAGAGGGTCAAGTCAAGTGGTACACTTTTTTTTCGCGCCCGTTTCGCGCCTTTTTGCGCCCGTTTCGCGCGTTTTTGCGCCCGTTTCGCGCAAGACCCTTGGATAATATCAGGCGCAAAATTTCAACATCATGCATGTCAAAGCCGACCTAATGCAAGGCGCCATTCTTCATCAAGCAAACGTCAACCTGACCGTGTTTCCCAGAGTTCACGGTCAAACTTTGTCATGCACAGCCATGCCACAGGCCGGCTACTTTTGCCATGAGGTGTTTCCACATATAGTCCCATGTATCAAGCACTTGTGCGCCGTGGCATGAGTTACCCATGGGCAGGGCTTCAAACATTTCACAGCGAGCGGAAAATTTCCGATTTTTATCCTGGAGGAAGAATCAGATGCAACCATCTGAAAAATAAGTCATGCATCCAGTCATGCATGGAAATAAGAACGTCTTCAATATCGTGCGCAGCAGCCTTGCTTTTTGATTGAAGTAAATCATGGTAAAGCTATATATGGGGTATGGGGATATTTGGCACAGATTAATAGCTGCATGTTGGTCACATCATCTGTGCCCATGTCATCTTTCAACAAACACATTGTGAAAGTAACTATATAGGCCAACTAGGCTTCAAACCCAGCCACATGCTTGCCAACAGGGCTGATTTGGACGTATATGTTTGAGCACAAGTTGGGAAGGGGCTGGCAAAACTGAAAACGGCACAAAACATAGCCATTATTAGCCACTTGGAAAAATATGTCCACACAGTTATCGTTCAAAAAATGTGCTCGAAAATGAGGTTGTTTTCAGAATCTGCCCGTTTACCAAAAAAGTGTACCAAACACCCTAAAAGTACACATTTATCTGTACCACTGGGCGGTGCAGGTATTTTATTTAGAAGTGTTAATGGCCTTAACTGTATGGCCATTTAACAATTAAGTATAATTAAGTTGTGGACTTATATACTGCAACTAAGGCTATATATTTCACTTAAATGCATATGAAATTGTAAGCCAGGTAGATGTAATTGTTAAGGGCTATAACTGTTGAGACTTGTTTTTGTGAAAGGTCAGTCATTTTATTGGAATATCATGGGGGCATGATGGGAAAATAAACGACAAATACAAACTGTTTGATACGTGTTATTCAAAGTTCCAAACAGCCGTGGGCTATGGGGTGCACTTGTTCGATTCCCCAGTCGTAATGGATTCCCCTCGGTCAACTAAATCAAACTACTTTCTTCGAGTGACCCCCACCAACTGGCATTCTATCTGACAAATATTCTGACATTCTATCTGGCATCCTTTCTGGCATTCTATCTGACAAATATTCTGAAATCCTATCTGACATTTATTCGGACATTCTTCCTGGCATTCTACAGTATCTGACATTTTATGCTCTGACATTCTATCTGACCTCTTATCTAACATGTATCTGACATTCTATTTGGTAGTATTTCCGGCATTCTATCTGACATGTATTCTGATATTATATCTGGCTTTCTATCTGAAATTTATTATCACATTCAATCTGGCATTCTTGCTGACATTCTACCTGGCATGTATTCTTGCATTCAATCTCTCTGGCGTTCTATTTGACATATATTCTGACCATTGTTTCTGACATTCTATTTCGCGTCTATTCTGGCGTTCTTTCTGGCATCTTCTCTGACATTCTATCTGACATTCTTTCTGGTATGTGGTTGGGGTTCGTGCATGCCCAGCCAGATCCGGAGCTTGCCATAGGGTTCGGATCCATGTGCCCAGAGGAGGAAAGGACTTGCACCTTTGTGAAAATCTGGAGATCCTCACCTGGCAGGTGGGGAATCATCCACTCAGCAAATCCAAAATGATATACACATTATATTCCCATTCGATCCCCATTTCCTCAATGGCCTTTTCAGTACCTAAATTTCAGGTACTGTACCATATACATATATATAATATATATATATGTCAGGCATATATTCCCTTGCGTACATAAGGCCTTATGGTAGGTACCTCCAATGAATCGGTACCTGAGACGGCCATGTCATGTCAACGGTACAAGTTGGGGCCCCCAGTTATGTGAACGTTGGTTTATAAAGCCCATGAATACTAATTCGTTATATGTATCATGATTCATAGTGACATTGAAGTTATGTTCGCCAGCTTAGTTATTAAAAATCAGCTAGAAATCCCATGAAATCCCCATTCCTGTCGGCTAAATCACCATTTTCCCATGGTTTTTGCTATCGTTTTTTGGGGGCCCCACATTGTTTTTGGCAAAAAAAAGTTTACGGATCGCAGCCGACGGCGCTCACAGCCACCGCGAAGCATTTCTCCTCCTCCGTGACAGGGAGAACCTCGATCTTCGACTCCATGGCGCGAGTGCGCTGAAGTCTCTTTCGGAACTCGAATGTGGGAAAGCCATCGAAAAACCATGGTTACCATCCCCAAAAAACTATAACTGGATACTATCATCCCCTTAAATGGTAGTTTTACTATTGGGTTTACCATATTGATGATGATAAGTTATCTAATGACAAACTTGAAAGTCATAATGTATAGAGCACTCAATTTTATTTTGAACGAAACACCCATAGTACATATAACCATTATGGGATGGATATGAGGAGAATTTTCCCAAATGGGTGGACTTTGCTGAAACAAAAATCACTGGTCCAAAGTCGGCTCTGAAGCAATCCGTCATGAATTCCTGAGCGACATCCTCGGCAATACCCTCTGGCAATTTCTTACATAGCAATAGAAAATACCACATTTATCGTTGATTCTTAAAATGCTTATGTAAATGGTCCATTTATAGTTGATTTACCGAACTGGAAAATGGTGGATCTTTCCAGTTCGCTAAACATGTTTTCCTGGCTGTTTTACTGGCCGGATATCCATAAGAATCCTATGAACAAAAAACACCTGCTGAAGTCCCAATAAATTTGTGATGTGTCGAGTCACTCAACTTGAGCAGTAAGAATACCCATGACGGATCCGGCTGGTGCTGGTATATTAATGCTAACATGACTGGGGTATATTGATGGGATCCATGTTGCCATATATAGCAGCACCATGGATCCTATGGGTAAGAATATGCGAGTCCCGGCGATTGTGAACATCCGCGTTTTGCATCCCGGCGTTTTGAAAAAGGGTAGCTGGTTGGTGGTGGAAAAAAAAAGCCTCTGAAAAATGTCAGTTGGGGTTACTATTCCCAATATATGGAAAAATAAAAAATGCTCCAAACCACCAACCAGGTAGTACATTATACGCCCAAATCGAAAATCATGACCTAACACTGCATATCTGAGATTGGCAATCCTTTGTCATCAATTGGAAGGTGGTTAAGGTAGCATTTTCCATGGCCATTTTCGTGTGACCCATCGGGGGTAACCCAGGAATAATTCACCCAGTTTCCTCATGCATCATGAATCCTCCCAATCCGAACAATCATAGATCACCAGTTCGAGGTCAGAACTGCCACCCAGCGCAACATTTAAAGCCTATACTTGTGCAAATAACATACATATACTCAAGGTATAGCAATTGACCTAAGAGTGCTTGGGAAGTTCTTTACAGATTTTGTTACTCCCCGGGGGTATCTGACCATCAAGATGCCTGAACCAACATCCCCAAAAAATCCCTGGCAAACCGTGACGTTCGGCCAATTTCATCACCTTGCATGATGCATTTAAGCATAATACGGTACATAAAACTTATACACACCGTGTCACACACCTATATAGTGTCTTTTCAACGAATAGTGCAACATGCATACGCTAAGCAATTTTCGGCCCTGGCAAATTGCTGAGCTACGCTGGCTGCTGGTCTTGCCATGTCTTGCCCATCGGCCAAAGGACGGATTGAGCCATGGGATGTTCCAAAATCCATCTCCACCTTCAGAATGAAACACCGGGAAGGCCTCCTAAGGGAAGGAGGCACTTGAAACACGTTCAAGTCGCGTTCGGGTCATTGGATTCAAGTCGAGTTGGTACTTATGAAGTATAAGGGTTCTGACAAAAATTAGAAAACATGGACAAAATGATCATTCACCTGGGGGGAAAGGGGTAAGATTGCCAAGGGTTCATTCATCAAAACTCTGTACAAGGTTTTAGCTGCGCATGATATTCAGCTATGAAACGTGCCAGACATGTTTGAAAAATCGATTCTGGCCACCAACCACCGGCTATGGATCAAACACCTAGAGACGCATTCTTTTCATACCAAGATAGCGACTGAAGATTCATTAGAAATGGTCAGATAGAAATCTTATGAAATCTTTCCAATCAACACTTGATTTGGGTGTGGTATGGATCAAACACCCGGTTATCCTTTTTCGATCACATTTAAAAAATATCGCACATGTTCAGATTCATCCCCCAACAAAATATGGACAATCACAAAAATTGTTGTTCCTATGGCTTTGCCTGAACATACCGAAAAATCTCATCGCCACGCTTCCCACCTTCCCAGTGTTGGAAAATCACCATTCGAGTGATTTCATGATATGGTGATGTTGAACTCATGACTTTACCATGGCTTTAGCAATATTAGGATATAGTACCCTCTGGTAATTTGTTACATAGCGACATAGAACATGGCCCAGATAGAAATCCTTGATTTACCGAACTAAAGAAAGACTGTGTTTTTCCAGTTCGCAAGCTGTTAGTTTACCAGAGGGTAGTACAATGTAAATAGGTGGTATAAACTTACCATTCCCAGTCAGGGGTGGTTGATTAAACCATTGTTTTACCCACAACAATTGCAGTGAAATGGCCATGGCTATTAGTGAACTAACTGGTTATTTCTATGGGATAAAATACATTCTATAAATGGGATTTTCTTAGTACTTATAACTGGTATAACTTGGGCCATGGCTGTGTGAATCTGACCATTTTCAGACACCGAAAACGCGCCAAAAAATGGAGTCGTCCTCGTCCGTGGGCACGTTGGGTTCATCGCCGCATTGCACCAGGAACAATGCATCCTTGACGTCCACCACCTCTGCAGTTATGGCCCAAAATACCAGTTATAAGTACTAAGAAAACCCCATTTATAGAATATATAATCCCATTTATAACCAGTTATAATTGATAAATGGCCATAACTGTGGTATCCCCAAAATAATGGCTTTGTATTGGAAAAGCCATCCCCATATGCTCCATGGTGCTGGTATATTTACCTACAAAACTGGGTGATTTTGTTCAGGTAAATGTTGGTAAAAATATACCATACATGGAGCATCTGGGATCTATAACTGGATGATTTTTGGGGGTACCCCTATTTTAGAAAACCTAAAAATATTGAATGGAAAGAAATCCTACACCAGGTAGGATAACTATTGGATACTATATGAAGGTACCTATGAAAATGAACAATGTAAATTAAATCGGATAACGGGATACATAAATCATCTACCAACTAGCGCGGGATTTCGCAACCAGCCACAGTATCACTACTGGTCGATGGGCTGCTGGCTTCCACCCCATTGGAATGGGAAATCCTTGCGGCCATTTTGGGGATAGGCCCCAGCTAAGTACTGAACATATTCAACAATTCATCCATCTTATGGCCCTTTACCAGTTATAAGTACTAAGAAAACCCCATTTATAGAATATATAATCCCATTTATAACCAGTTATAATTGATAAATGGCCATAACTGCAACAATTCATCCATCTATGGTATATTGGTATGCTCTCTGAGACTGCGATCGAGACTTAGGTTATAGTGACTATAATTTGATTGAGCAGAGGATGTAAGGGTACTCAATGGCAAACCCACGTAGATATGGAAAAAAACAGTACAAAAACGGACCATGTCACCATGTCCTTGGGTTTCAATGTAGGTTTTACAGATCTATCTTAGTTCCCCTGGTGACCCTCTTCCATCATGGCCTACAAGGTGGTGTCTTCAAAACCCTAAACCGAAAAACGTAAACCCTAAACCCTAAAATCCCAAAATCCTAAACACCAAAAACTCTGTGTCCTAAACCAGAAAACACTGCGAATACGCAGCATGTCTGCAAACTCTCCTATCATGTTCGACAACATGGCAGTAAAATGGCATCCTCAATGTTGCAGTCCGGGCAAACCACGGGATCTGTGTGTAAATATGGTAAATAAACATATAGTTGTTTCATCACCATAAACCGTGCATCACCATAAACCGTGCAGTAGTTGTGGTTCTGAACCAACTTAGCTAGTTCTCAGGCAAGTTGCGCTTCTAGTTATCTACCTGTCCAACGCCTCTGAGTTTACATTACCATATAAAACCCTACCCTTGGAAGTGTTCACTTCCAGTTACAAGTGGATATAAGCATAGTTATTAATGATGGGCATTAATGTGGGTTTAGAACAATACTAAACCATCCCCCAGTCATCACCATGTTTATAGGTGGTATAAACTTACCATTCCCAATCATGGCTGGTAAAAATGGCATTGTTTTACCCACAGTGGGCAAAACAGTGGGCTATATCAGCTACCATCTGCTTATTTAACATAGCCATGGAAAATCCCCAAAATAAATGGAGGTTTCGCAAACGCTGGGAAAAACATCTATTTCTATGGGCCATGGCTTAACCATGCCTATGTTAAAACACCAGTGGGGACACATGATTCTACCCTCTGGAGATTTAACATAACGAACTGGAAAGATCCACCATTTTCCATAGGTAAATCCACTATTTCTATGGATCATTTACCATGGCTATGTCAGTCATAACCAGGGGGTACATCCCAGCTGTAACAGAGGGTTGCCATTGGTCCGGCGCCTCCAGGATCTCATGCAGCATGCGGAGCCAGCGCCAGGTGTCCTTGTCCGAAAAGGGCGTCATGCAGCCTCCACGGTCCTCCGTGCCGAGTGGACCGAAAAGCGCTGTGGGGATAGGCGTCTCACATGGGTGAACCGTTCACCTAGGGCAAAATATGGCCAAAGAAAGGATTTGGCCATAGATTTTTTCAAATGGAGGAAGTGATCAATATGATTCAACCAATGTAACTGATCTTCAGGATTCTTCAGGTTTTTGTGGCCCAAAATAATGGCACTTGAACTGCCACAAATCATCCACAGGTGGGTGAATGTTGGCTCAATAAATACGATTTATTTGGCAAAGTACTTTCCAATACATGGCCTTCTCCAAAATACATATGGATGAAAATGAAGTTTGAAACACCCTAGTTTACATATGGATGTAAAATAATAACCTCCAAATTTTCATTTTAAAGGTGGTAAAGTCAAGTCTGGAAACTCCGTTGGACGTGGGGATGCTGGCACTCAGTTTTTAATGCAACATTTGCATGAGTTTGAAACACCCTACAGTTATGGCCATTTATCAATTATAACTGGTTAGTTCTATGGGATTATATATTCTATAAATGGGTTTTTCTAAGTACTTATAACTGGTATTTTGGGCCATAACTGTAGGCACTAATTTCATTAGCAAAAGTTACACTTTGGGTTTTCCACCTCTCCTGAAGATGCGGCACACGCTTCCAAGGCGACGACGCCAACAAAAACAACACTTTGCCAATGTGGCGCCACCCCCAGTTTTGTTTGTTGGTTTGTAAAGCCCATGAAGACTATAGTGATATATTTACTTATATATGTAATTGTAATTATTTATATATATATATATATTTCATTCTGGTATATAAGTTATAAATATAGTTATAAATTTATAAATATCATAAACCATAATTATTGGAGCTATAAACCAACATAAACCAACTTAGCTATCGTAAACGGGTGCCCCACATTGTACAAAAACATGGCATTCCTTGGATGGTCAATTCGTCGCCAATCATGTGATACCTGGCCTGGCAAACATACAAAAAGCTATTGAAAATGGCCCAATCGAAATAGTTGATTTACCAGTTTGTTTTTTGTATGTTTACCAAAGGGTATCATCTGGGTTGAGCAGAACAACAATAATTTCAGTGCAATCCCCGATGAGCGTGACTTGGTTGTGATCAATGGCCATGCAACAGGAACCAATTTATTGGAGGTACCATATGTAAGGTATAAGGTCTATGCAACGGAATATCCCCACAAAATATAGTCTTATATGGTACTAACGTACCTCCATTTTAGGAACCTGAAGATCTCCCATTGATAGGAGGTTTAACCATCATATATCCCAGTAAATCCCAGTAAAATACCATAAAATCCCATTAAATGCCAAATTAAGATTCTAGTTCTGACCCTTGTAACTCTAGTGCTGTTGCTGCAACGCCACCGATCCCGACTCCTCGTCATCGGTGTGACACTTCCTTTAAAGGCGACCGGTGCCACCGCAGGGTTTCGCAAACCAATGTATGTTTTCTTGGGGAAACTAGAGGCCTGAAGTCTGGTATACCGTATACCCTCTGTTTATCATATGAAACATCGTCATTTCAATAAGTACATCATCTATGAATGGCCCGTTTTCCCATGCTATATACTATATTCAATTACCGCAGGGGCAGCAATTGACTGCCTCACACATCCAACCGTGAAGCCATTTGCCACTTTCTCCCTTGAAAAAAACATCGTCTCAATGTTTGGAGATGCAAATTCGTCACAAAGTGAGACATCTTCTTTTTATGAGTTGGTTTACCCTCTGGTAAACATTTACATAGCTATGGAAAGATCCACCATTTTCACTGGGTAAATCCACTATGAATGGCCATTTTCAACAACTATGTTAAATTACCAAAGGGTATAACACCCATTCGCTATGCCATAAATCCATTCGCTAACCTACAACCATCAAGCAACTAGCAGCTAGGCACCATGTGGGGATGGAACCGTCTATCATTATTGGATGGTCACCTGGTCACCGGCATGTTTTTCGGCCTTGGAAGACTGGTGGTTTCCACTGTTAATTCAGGGTCCAACTGTTAATTTACCAGAAGGATTTGTTTTTTCATGATTCTACAGAAAATAATCCTTCTACAGTATATATTGTGAACAATCTACTATATTCGGTATCACTTATTATCACCATTATTATCATCATCCATCTTCCGGGGATGGGTTGAATGGGCACTTCCCAGCACTGCAGCTCGCCCAAGCAACTTCCAGAAAATTTTCTTGTCCAAGACCTCGGCTGACACCAGAGTTCTGGGAGAGAAACGCAGGGTTTCAAGAAAATGATGCAGGGAAAAAACAAACACTACAGTTATGGCCCTTTACCAGTCATAAGTACTTATAACCATTATAACCCCATTTATAGAATATATAATCCCATTTATAACCAGTTATAACTAATAAATGGCCATAACTGTAGATTGTACTTTAGGTCTATCGTCATTTTCCCAGTTCATGAATCATAATTAATTGCAGTTCTATGCGCAACGCACAGCCCCAACTCACAGGTTCTGATCCTTCCCAGTACATTCAGTAGCACCACCATGAATCAATGTTTTTTTTTGCTATGAAAAATGTAGTTTATGATCTTTATTATGACAATTTGTACGGCTCATCTTGAGGAAATAATAATGAAACCATTAATAACTACATTGTTTAGTTAATTTTATATGTGTCTTAGTGATGATGAAGCAGCCGTTTTTTGTCAATTCTGAATTCTATTCCCACATGTTTTCGTGGTTTGAACCCCACACTCATGATGGCTAAATCGCAATAACCACTGTGATTGAAACTGACCATTGAGCTGTGTTCAATAACATTCAATAACCCACTGTCAATTCCATAAAATAATCTTGGGATAAGGACGGGTTCCCAATTCATGGACTATGATCATCCCCAATATATACAGGGCAAACCCCGAAAAAATCATCAAGCAACACAGAACATATCATACTGATGGTTACATCACTTATAACAATATTCCTTTCTGAACCATTGTACCCGCCCATATATATATATATGCCAAAACATATGTCAATCCCCAAGAAGATATTATCCAAAAGTCATGAAAAACCGATAAAATCACCATTTAAGTAGGACACGTTCCTATCTTTTTGGGGATTGCCACATGCTGTCAAAATCCCCATGGCCAGGTTGCGGCAACGGCAATGGCCAGCGTGCGCGTGATCCGCGGATCGCAGAAGTCATCCAGCCGCCGTAAGGACAGCAACGGTTCCTGGCGAGGCATCTGGAGGCGGGATGAACCCAGGATGTCCTTTGGTGCTGGAATATTTAGCTATTTATCAGCATTTGCACCTAATGTTTCACCCACATGTAGGTAAATAATGGTAAATATACCAGCACCATGGATGTAGGTAACTATAAACACATAGAATGGGTCTAAAAATCCAAGGTGTTTGCGGTTTAAATCACATATTTTGATGTTTAAGCAGTGTCTAAAAAATAAACATGTAAACCATCCAGGGTAGCATGGGTTGACATTGGGATTTTTTAAAACATGTTTAAACAATTTCAAAACATATGTTAAAGCAAAATCTGAAAGATGGGGACCTAAACACTATGTGGTCTGGTGGGGTTGCCGGCACCAATTCCTACAAAACCTGATCCCTGCGACCTTGAAGATGCGCAATGTCGAGCATTGCAGCAATGGCCTCATCCACGCCTCCAAGATCCGAAGTCGACTTGGCTAATGCTGACAATGCTGACACACCATGCCCGACGAACATATCGAATGAGTGCCGACTGGCCCATGCGACTCCATGGCCCGACTGGCTCTGCGTCAGCGAAGAGGACCTTTTCAGTTGAAACCTCCTGGCACTTTGGTGCCATTGAGTCTTTTCTATAATGTCTGGTGCCCAAGCCCGACCAAGCAACAAAACCACTGGACCGGCCATGTCCACAATCCGATCAGTGTGCTTCAAACACGAGCTTTAAACATGTTCGCTGCAACCCTGACATTGCAACGCGTCTGACTTCAGGGGGCTATGAAGATACAGTTGATGTTATTACCCCAATCAACATATTATTCATAGGGGGTGGCGAATTTTAATGTGCAATGATCATGATGATCATGATGATCATGTAGTGATGATGTGATGGTGATGGTGATGATGATGATCATGATGTGATGGTAATGGTGATGATGATGTGATGATGTGATGGTGATGGTAACGGTGATGATGATGATGATGATGATGATGATGATGATGATGACGACTGTAAGTGTGGAGCAACGTCCGGGTTGGGGCGAACATCGCTGCAACCCTGACGTTGCGCCGCGTCTGACTTCAGGGGGCTATGAAGATACAGTTGATGTTATTACCCCAATCAACATATTGTTCATAGGGGGTGGCGAATGTTGATCCCTTATGAAGATAAAGTTGATGTTATTACCCCCATCAACATGTTGTTCATAGAGGGTGGCAAATGTTGATCCCTTATAAAGATAAAATTGATATTAGTACACCAATCAACAGATTGTTCATAGGGGGTGGCGAAATTTGATCCCTCACGAAGATAAAGTTGATGTTATTACCCCAACCAACATATTGTTCATAGGGGGTGGCGATTTTTGATCCCTCATGGAGATATAGTTGATGTTATTACCCCAATCAACATATTGTTCATAGGGGGTGGCGATTTTTGATCCCTCATGGAGATATAGTTGATGTTATTACCCCAGCCAACCTATTGTTCAGAGGGGGTGCCAAATTTTAATGTGATGATGATCATGATGTGATGATGATGATGATGTTGATGATGATGATGATCATGATCATGATAATGACAATTTTCAGTGTGGAGCAATGTCCGGGTTGGGGGGAACATGTTTAAGCGGTTTGATGTTGACCCGGTGGAATTTGTGTACACTTGTTTGGAACAACTCTGGTGTGCATTCCACTCGTTATCACTGTTTTACAATATAACCCATCAGTACTATCGCGGTGTATCAAACATAAGCCATGTATGCATATATATATTATATAATATATAATATGAAATAATATAATAAAATATAATATATTATAATATAATATAATATAACATAATGTAATATAATATAATATAATAAAATAATATATATATATATATAATATATTATATATATATGTGCATGTGTGTAGGTGTTTCATACATGACTCGCTTATAAAATGGTTGTCATCCACTTGGTATCTGAGATCCATCCCTAGGGGAGGATGCAGAAAGTAGTTGGCGTTGGGGCACCTTTTTTTTTGAAGCGTGGCAGCATACCGGGTGGATAGTCACATTGTTCTGGAAATGTTTGCTCCCGGGTAATTCTCGATGATTTCCTCTTTATCCAAAGAAGTTTGGAAAAGTTTAAGTGCCCACTGAGGCAAACATCATGGTCACAATTTCAACTGTTTTAACTGCTTTAACTCATTGGTTGGGTGCATGTTCAACCCCAGACGTAGGATTTGTCCAGTTCTCATTGAACATAATCACCAGAAAAGAACCATTATCAGGTAAATCCTATAGACATGGGTCATGTTCTAGATTAAATTACCAGAGGTCTCAGAGGGTACGGTTTAACAATATTTAGCATTTTAGTTGTGTTGCATACAAACCAAATCAAACCAACAGGTTTCATGTAAGTGATTCTGGAATATTTAGGTAATCAATTGGGCCCATAAATAAAAACTGCTAATATCTACTGAGAGAATCTTTATACTCTGCTAATCCAAAAATGGTTGTTGTAAGTTGGGGCCCCTTTGCAAGTCGGTTTGTGTCGCACCATCGAACAAAATAGTTCTTTCATCACCATAAACCCAACAGTGACATATTTGTTAGGAATCCATGCCGCTTCCATGGTGGCAGGGGTGAAACGGTGAGTTTTCTGAGACTGTGCGAGTCAATCCGCACGAGCCAGAAATATGCGGCGATTCCGTTCGCAAGGGCACCACTTTTCAATCATAGATGGTGAATCCTGATTCAAATCCATCACAATCCATCACCTAAGTCACTTAGAGTTGCAAAGGGGACTTCCAAAAGAATAGAAAATCAACTTACAGATTCCTGTGTAATGTGGGTAAAACAATGCCATCTGCACCATCCCCCAGTCACCATTCTTATACTAGTGGTATTCATATAAACCATTCCCAGTCATGGGTGGTTTATGACATTGCTTTACCCACATTAAATATGGGAAATCACCATGTTTAATGTATAAATCAACTATTTCTATGACCATGTTCAATAGCTTTGTTAGTTTGCCAGACGCTACATCTTCATTACCCACAGTGATTTATATTACCCCCAAGTCATGGGTGGTTGATCGGAGCCGTCCTGCGCTTGGCCCGCGAAGGGAGCCAGAAAGCGTTCCAGCACCGGTTCCGTCGGACACTTCAGCGCACAAACCCTGGGACGTGACGTGGGCTGGATGGGTTGGCTTCACGTGATGTGATTGGATCAACGCCTTTTTGTTTGTTTTTTTTAGACTGGTTGAGAACGGGATTTTTTGTTCGTTGTGATACAGGGGTTTTGAACACTGCTCATGGTGTCAGTTTAATTAAAGATTAATTACTATAACGCAGTACTGGTCAATGATTCTGGGGGGAAGTATGACAATATGACATAGAGGAGACACAAAACTAACATGGAACGGTTGTCTTTTGCACAACGCCTCAATAGCTTGGGAGGTCTTAAAAAGGTTGCGCCCCACAGGTAGCAAATTAATTTACAACTATTCACAGCTACAGTGTGGGGCCCGCAAGATAGCTAAGTTGGTGAACATGTTGTTTATGATGCTTATATAATATATTCTAACTATGGTATTCATGAGGGTTGTAAATCAACTTAGCTATCTTGGGGGCCCCACATTGTAGCTTTTCATGGTGACTAAAACAATAAGTGGATGGAAAAACCAATTTGGGACCCCACCTTCTGAGACATAGTTATGGCTTCGAACCTTGGTTATCTGCACGTCAGGCTTGTCTTCATGCCATGTGGTGGCATCATACCAAGGATATCGCGTCAAGCTCCCATGAAGATTTGAATGTAAATGGGAATATCAATGGTTGAAATCCTGTCATGCCAAACGAAATCGCGACAAGTTGGGGGCTACAAAAAATAACATAACAATGGTTTACTACACTTCTAACTTATAACTATAGTTTTCATGTGGATTGCAAACCACCGATAACATCCTGTAGCTGGGGGGCTGTATGGAGCATACCCCTCCATCGGGAGTGCAACTTGACTGCTTCCCCTCGCTTGTGCTGGTCAATTTGCACATGTTTTCTTTTTTCTGAGCAAACTATATCCATAATAATTCCTCAAAAACACACCATGTGATTGCATATTTTCGTTATGATTTCCCCAGTTCTAACGATGCTGTATCTGAACGGATTATACTAATTCTAGTCTACCGAACAAAATGATGAAATTCACCTGATGTGCTGAGTGTTTTGGAAGACTTCCCCGACAAGCATCCTGAATCCTGGATACCCTGCATATGTCCCCATTAGATCCCATTAAGTTGACTTACTCAACGACCCATCTGGCAGTGAGGTCCTACCAATCCCTGACACGCCAAGTCGCGTCTCTGCAATCGACAAAGCACCGGACCAAGCAACGGTCCTCGCGGTCCTCGCGGTCTCGGCCGATGGCGCTGCGCAAGGTGTGAGGTGGAAGCTCCAAGTATCTCCTCCCGTGGAGCCAGCCACTTGAGCGGGATATGAGGATAGCTTGGGATAGAACTGATAGAATATTTACCAACATGTGCCCTAAAAATCACCCAAATGTAGGTAAATATACCAGCACCATGGAGGATATAGGTAACTAAACCAACATGTGGATTCTTTGTGTGTGTGAGTCAAGCTCTGTTTCAAAGGGTGACTTACGTTTTCTTTCCGATGTTTATCAAGCTTCACAACAGGGGCAGAGGGACTGCCAAAAACCACCCATGTCGCTTACGGCAACATAAGGCCTTCATGGGAATTGTCCCATAACTCAATTTTGAGTTATCAATCAAACCATCGACGACATGCGGTCTTTCAAGTGTGTATACAAATTGGGTGGATACCCATCAATACTAGCATTTTACCCTCTGGTAAACTAACATAGCTATGGAAAATCACCATTTCTAATTGGAAAATCCACTATTAATGGCCATGTTCAATAGCTACGTTAAATTACCAGAGGGTAAATGTATATATATATATATACATCTTTTGGACTGTGGAGGTACCCAATTTTCAAAGAAACCATGTAGAACAAACCTAAGATAAAACCCCCTGGTAATTTAACAGTTTGCTATTGAAAATGACCCATAGAAATAGCTGATTTACATTGATTTAGCCATAAAACATGTTTTTTTTCTCCGTAGTTTTTGGTATTTTTACCAGAGGGTACTGGTTTCATTTTACAGGAAAGCCGTGCCAAAAAAACAACCAAAGCGTTTTCTACAGGTTTTCCAACCCCCGGAAGATGGTGGGATAACATTGGCAATTGGGTTTATCACACTAAGCAATGTTCCAAATTTCTGGGAATGACACATGGATTGCTGGAAAAAACATTTACAGAAACAGAGCCACTTCTGGAGATATAACATGTTCTAACTAGCAGAAAGAAACAACTCATTGGCTATCAGTTATAGCCCTTAACAATTGGCTCGGGAAAAACTCATTGTATATACATCACCATGTGAGGCTACAACAGTTCTCACACATATATATATATATAGTCTATTATATATATCATATATATATCATATATATATGCATATATATATATATGATAAACACCACCTATTTCCAGGAGTTGTAAATCATCCCATGGCCACAATCTCCTCTTAGTTGGGCAAGAGTGATATGGTTGGGCACCGGTTCTTTGGCAATGTTTGCTCACTGGCGTGTCATAAATTATATTATGTATATATATAATATACAGTATTACATATATATATATGATATATATATATATATGTAAGTATATATATATGTAAATATATAGATATGTATTTATATATATATATAGATATATATATATATATGGGAACTGGGGAATAAGCGTGCCCCCTGGAACCATATATATATATATGTATATATATATCAAGTAGAGTACTGCAAGCGAAAGCTTTTTTTTTGACATCTCTACCTGGCACTGGAATCAGATGTACTTGTGGATAACCCCACAATTATACTATAGTGTACAATAGTGTACAAGATATGATCAAAACAAATCAATAGAAAATCATCAACCATGATTGATGTCCGGTGCACCCATTACTCTATGTACCCTTGCCATCCTCATTCTTAGTAATGTGGTAAAGCCAATAAACTTACCATTTGGGAATGGTTTATACTAGCCATTTGTGGTCATGTTGCGAATGATTGGATTTACATGGAGGTTTCCCAATCCATGGGGGTACCGTCAAATCATCCAAGTTATTAGACCATTTTGGTATTGAAAACCATGGTAACTTGGGATAATTATTAGGAAACCTCCATATGGATTTATCACATTACCTTAGCGCATCATATCCCTTACTGCATCCTTGGCTAATCCTTAGTCACCTGCGAGACCTCAAAAATCACCGATGCGCCCGACCTCCTTGTGCCAGGAGCGCGAAAACACACAGAATTTTGCGCAACATGGCATGACAGGGCGACGCATGATGCTGATCGTTCACTGCAAAACGTGGTGCCGCTTTGTTTTAAGTTGGTCTATGTTTCCCATCTAACTAGAATCACCAGAAACCCTAGTTAATTACTAAAGCAACTTAGAAAACAAAATGGGGCACCGCCGAAAGCAGGGTTGCACACAAAATAGTGTGTTCAAAATATTGGGGAACTCTTGCTGTTGATGGTTTCAACCTGATGTCGCTGGGATCTCCTATACCGAATTCATACGTCGCACCTCAGATACCGTGCATTTCTTTCGGTAGTACATTATCCCCATGTTCAACACTGAATTGAACTACAAAATTTCCCTTTACCAGGTGAACATGGCAATCTTACTGTGGCTGATAATCTCTGAGTAATCAGCCATTAACCATCAGTTTTGATCAGTTTTGCATGTTGAGGTAGCTGGATTCATGGAATCAGTCAAAGAATCTGAGCAAAAGTCGGCGCCGAGCAGCAACGGAAACCTATGTATGCCGGGCTTAGTCAGCGAAGAAGTGGTGGGAAAAAAACAGTAACCACCTGATTTCGGAGTTATATTGAGTTGTATCAACATAGTTTCAATGGGAATTCCAGGATCCTAAAATGGAGGTACGTTAGTACCATATAAGGCCATATTTTGGGAGGATATTCCCTTACATAGGCCTTACATAGGCCTTATATATGGTAGGTACTTCCAATTTAGGATCCTGAAATGGCCATTGATCTGATGCCTAGCTCTATTTTTTGGGGGTACCAAAGCATCAGTCCTACAGTAATCTTTGTTGGGCCTTGCCCCTTCCGGTGCTGGACCAAAGGTACTGCGGCATTGAGGCTATCATTTGAGGTTGGGATACAGAATGGAAAACAGCCAAAACAAAATGGATAAATGGACTACAAGTATAATCCAGTCAGCATTTTTGAGATCAATTTTTGATATTTTTTGAGTGGCCTATTGACCATTACTTCCCATTTACCCTCTGGTAAACTAACATAACTATGGAAAACCACCATGTTTAATGGGAAAATCCACTATAAATTGCAATTTTCAATAGCTTTTTGTATGTTTACCAGAGGGTACAATCTTGGATACCCTGCTGTCTGCAAGAAATATCGCGATACAAAAACAGCTAGGCGGGCTAGAGATATCACATCCCCATGATGGCACAGGATTCAACGAGACGAAACTCTGAATAACAACCCTTGTTTACATAAATATATATATATAACAACTATGAAAGGCACCTTTATGTAACCACGGTGCAGGCACCTTGTCTACATTACAATACCTAAAATGAAAGGCACGTTTATATACCAAGTTGTTTACCCATATGGTTACGAATTTATCGCACATGGTTCCAGGTTCAATAAATTGTTCAATAACAAAAAACGATAACCCAAGTCCACGGGGACCCCACCGAAACCCACAAAAACAAAGGAAAACAAACTACTTGGTGTCTCATCCCACTTACTAAGTAGGTTATATATATATATTATATCTGTGTTTTTAAGTGGCATAAGTGGGCTTACTCCCGTTCTCACTCGTCTTATCAACTATAGGTGAGATGAAGCACCCGTCGTCGTTCATCGTCCTTCATCTCAGTTTGCCTCGTGCTTGAGTCTCCCTAGAAACCCTGGTTGGATCATCTTGCATCTATGAATTAGTCACTGAAATTGGTGATTTCATATCCCATATGCTCCATGTATGGTATATTTACCTACATTTGGATGATTTTTAGGGTAAATGTTGGTAAATATTCAATACATGGAGCATTTGGGTAAATATTCAATAGCCAATCTTAGATACCCTGCAAAAAAATAATCCTGGCTGGTTAGTAGATAATCCCGTTGATACCAAAAGACTAAAAGATTAAAGTACCCATCCAAGGTTAATCTAGTTCGGGGGATGAGATATGATGGGATTATGTCACAGCCTGAAGTGTTTGGCAATGAACTGGTGAGCTTCCGGATAGATCCTGGTAACCTGAGGTGACAATTCACCTACGATGCGGTGTCCCCTAGTTATGATTTGGTTTAAGTTGCCCCATCTCACTATATATACTAGTATCTACCATAACCCCAGTGAGATCTTAAATATTGTATATATATATATGTACATATATATATATGTATGTATGTATGTCTGTATGTCTGTATGTCTGTATGTCTGTATGTCTGTATGTCTGTATGTCTGTATGTCTGTATGTCTATGTCTGCATGTCTGTATGTCTGTATGTCTGTATGTATGTCTGTATGTCTGTATGTCTGTATGTCTGTATGTCTGTATGTCTGTATGTCTGTATGTCTGTATGTCTGTATGTCTGTATGTCTGTATGTCTGTATGTCTGTATATGTCTGTATGTCTGTATGTCTGTATGTCTGTATGTCTGTCTGTATGTCTGTATGTCTGTATGTCTGTATGTCTGTATGTCTGTATGTCTGTATGTCTGTATGTCTGTCTGTCTGTATGTCTGTATGTATGTATGTATGTCTGTATGTCTGTATGTCTGTCTGTATGTATGTATGTATGTATGTATGTATGTAATGTATGTAATGTATGTAATGTATGTATGTATGTATGTATGTATGTATGCATGTATATGTATGTATGTATGTATGTATGTATGCATGTGTATGTATGTATGTATGTATGTATGTATGTATGCATGTATATGTATGTATGTATGTATGTATGTATGTATGTATGTATGTATGTATGTATGTATGTATGTATGTATGTATGTATGTATGTATGTATGTATGTATGTATGTATGTATGTGTGTGTATGTATATGTGTATGTATATGTGTATGTACTTGTATATGTATATGCATATGTATATGTATGTGCATGTGTATGTGTATGCGTATGTGTATATATATATATATATGTATATACTTACATTACATTACATTACATCACATCACATCACATCACATCACATCACATCACATTACATACATAGCAATTTCGACCTGGGTCACCACCTTGAAGCAATCCCAGTAAGAAATCCTTGTGGGAATGGCTTGCCCATCACTGGAGCAGCGCCTAATATAATTCCCATCAACTGTGGAGATATCTACCATTAAACCCTAGCTTTTTATTCTGTTTTGGTTTAAACCCTAGCTATTTGAGTTCAAACCCAATGAATCCAGATCACTGTGCCATGTCCCAGATCGGCGACAAGTCGTGGCTCGACAATACCGCCGGGCGCACCCCGCCAAGTCAATTCGCTTTGCTGCGAATTCGGAATTGGTCGAGTCTGCGCACGGATGGCTCCATGGTTTTCACAGGGCTTTCCGAAAATGGTGGTACCTCAAAAACAACCCCTTCAATCGGATTTTCCATTCTAATTTAAAACCATCCAATTTTGGGTATCCACATTTATGGAACCCCGCATATGGGGATCTTGAACCATCAAACATGAGGTCTGTTATGATATTACTGTTAATGGGATCCGTATTTTCTATAACCACCAGCAGAAGATTTCACCACGTCCGATTGATTTCCAACATCAACAAAATCAACAATATGAAGGTTAAGCTTAAGGATTCCATATGCAACCCATGGTGCTGGTTGTGTCAAAACCTACAACACTGGCTGATTTATTTCGGGTTTTTATGTTGGTGTGCATATTCAAGCACCATGGAGCAAAACTGGGGACTTTTTTTTGTTTTTTTCACCAACTATCTGGGCATTACGGATGGAATATGACGGAATATCACCAGCACAGGGAGTAGGTAGCAAACATGTAGTGTGCTCAATCCCATGATATTAAGCCCCAGTGATGGGTCCAGACTATGAAAGCTGGTGCGTTTTGAGCGAAATGTGGTGATTCTTTTGATGGGACACGTTATAACATATATATATATAATTATAATACATTTTATATATATACATAATTTCCAAGGAATACTTCAGAATACTCTGATAGTTACATTATACACAATAGTTCGCCATGCAGTCAATACTTCAGAAATCTTCTGAATACTCTGATAGTTGGGAAGTATGATAAATGTTTACAAGGTGCAATTAACACTTAGCAACTATCAGATTGCCCGGCCTGGTAAATGGGCTAACATAACGAACTGGAAAGATCCACCATGCATGGGACAAATACCCACGATTTCGACTGGGTCATTTCCAGTAGCTCGTGTCGACAAATTACCAGAGGCTATAAATCACCATTTCTAGTGGTTAAACCACCATTTCTATAGGTTTTTCATCACCATTTCTATCAGCTAGTTAGGTTTTTCATCACCATTTCTATCAGAAATAATTACTTCGTGACTCTCTAAATTTTCTCAGCTAGTCACTCTCCGATCACCACAGCGTGGCAATGGAAGGTATTTTTACCATGAAATCACCATCAAACTCCCATGAGAATTTCCTGAAATCACCATTAAGATACCAAATTCCTATAACATCACCACTAACATCCCATGAAAAATAATTTCCCACTAAAATCCCATAGAAATCAACACTAACATCTCCTTATATAAACGTCTATATTACTGTTCTACTGAAATCACCTTACGTTATTCATCATTTTTCCGTCGCATCCCGAAAAAAAAGTTCGCCTCTTCGACGGCAGCGCCACACCTCGTGGGTGGGATAACCGCTGGTTCTATCCACCATCTATTCATCTATCCATCCATGTATCTGTTTATTTAATTTACTAAATAGATTAACATAACATTACATTATGTTATGTTATATCGTAGTATAAATTATAAACCATGTATATTATAGATTATATATTATATTACAAATTACATGAATATTAGAAATTATATTAATTATATATATGATTATATTACAATATATGTTATATTATATATTATATTATAAATTATACGGCATTATTATAGTATATTATGTTATATTATATTACATAATACTAACATCATTATGTTTCCGTATTTGTTTATTACATGAATATATTTGCCTGGGGTAAACAAAAACATTGAAGTTTGGATTTCACTTGATTAACCAAGTTCCACATGTTCCTAACAATGCAGAGCAGTCAGCATTCTACTAATTCACCGACCTGACATGTTGGGTGATTCTAGGGCAGGTTCACGTTACCCTCTGGTAATTTCACATAGCTATTCAAACGTGGCTTGGTTCAATGATTTCACTATTACAAATGATCAGCATGGCATGGTCTACCCATGGCTATGTCTTCAAAAAGATAGAGAAGAAAAATCCTGCTGAAATACATAGCCATGGTAGAATAATCATCTATATTTAGATACCCTGTTACGTAACTGATAAATCACTTTTCTATATTGTTTTTGGTTAATATGAACGATCACCCTGGTAGCCCGAAACCTCGCATGGGGTTGGGCTAAACTGTGATGCACATGGTGTTTTTTTTTTGCAGCACTTCAGGTTTGACTAACAAATGATACATGCCTACAGTTATGGCCCAAAATACCAGTTATAAGTACTAAGAAAACCCCATTTATAGAATGTATAATCCCATAGAAATAACCAGTTATAACTAATAGCCATGGCCATAATATAATATTTCACTAAGCTGAAGTAAGGCCATATTGGGATGATTTCCCTTACTAACCATGATTCCAGTGAGGTCGCAGTGAGGTCGTTATAATTTACCCAGACAAATGATACATGCCTATGGATGAAAATGATCAAAGCCATGGCATTCCACGCAGCCATGGCGTTCCAGGAGTTTGCAGCGCCGTATGCAGCGTCAGTGGATTAATAAACCCCGTTTGCTGCTGCTTAATTGGGAGGGTACCATAAAAAAGTATCAGATGAAATGACTGTTGAAGTACCCCCCCCAAAATTAATCAACCATGGTTACCATGGTTTAGCAAAATCCGGGGTTGACATTACATCCAAAACTTGGAGTTTCTCAGCCAGGGTACTGAACTGAAGCCACCTTTTGCAAAGGGGCGGCGTCCTGTCAATGCATACCTTGCGCTTGGTGGTTGTTGGATGTTCTTGGTGACTTTGACACCCAAGAAACACATGTTCTGAAAGGTCCAAACATGGCCATTTTGTCAGGTAATCTTAGATACCCATTTTAAAAGATCAGGTGCCCTCTGGTAAAATAACATAACTATGGACAATTACCGTTTTAAATGGGTAACTCCACTATAAATGGCCATGTTCAATAGCTATGTTAGTTTACCAGAGGGTAATCTTGAGCTGGAAAGTCGGGACAGAACATCCCACCATCGGAAACGAAACACATCGGATCCCTGCTCCGTTCTTTTCTGGGCCCGCAACAAGCGCACAACGAAGCTGGTGGCGAAACACCCATGGAAGGGACGGCGCACTTTTCGTCAAAGAGGGGCGTGCTTGTCGGTTCCTCCAATTCCGGAGTTTCTTCTGGCCTCCAGGTTTGATTCTTGCTGGTGCTGAAAGAGCCCCTTCAAACATCATTTCTCATTAGTAGTTCTGCATCTTCATCATATTCATCATATTCATATTCATCATATTCATCATATTCATCATATTCATCATCATCATCATCACCATCATCATCATCATTCCAAATAGAATCCATGTAGCAAGAAACAAACCATATTTAAACCCAACCCAGCGGTATTATGTGACCGGGGATGGAGGATCTTGAGAAAGGGATGGGACAGTCTACAACAATCGAGCAGCTCGAGCAGAGCTACGGGGAACATATAATATCTGGTTGGTGGTTTCAACCCTCTGAAAAATATTAGCCAGTTGGGATGATGACATTCCCAATATATGAAAAGTCATAAATTTCCATGGTTCCAAACCACCAACCAGATATACATTCAAAGGTCTTCACACCTTTGTTTTCTGAGAAAACATCTTCATGTTGCCGTAGCCTGATTCGAATTAACGTCTGGCTGGCTTCTTTACTGACTAAGATCAGATTTTGTGGATCCTTGAAAGGTGGTGCCTTTCAAAAAATCTTCATGGTTTGTTGGCTATAGTTGGTTTATGTTCCGCCAATAAACAACAATCTAGTTATTTCAACACCATGAATCCAACTTAGACAATCCAGTAAACTGTTTGACTATCTCAGCAAACATAAATCACCTCTGAACAACCCAGTTTTCTTGGATAAATCCCTTTTGTTTTGGGGCTATACCAAGGTTGAGCACATGTCGCTCAAGCACAATGGACAACCAGTTGCCAATTTTAGGTTCACATTGTCGGTGTCTTTTTGTGGGTTACTATGTTCCTTCAAAATCCTTTACCATCTGGCTATTTAACATAGCCATGGAAAATCACCATGTTTTAATATGTTTTAATAGGTAAACCCAGGTAAACCATCTATTTCTATGGGCCATCTATACCATGGCTATGTTAAATAACCAAAGGGTAAAGCTGGTTTATGTGATTGTATGGCAACACATTCAAAGCATTGCAGCAAAAAGCAAGTTTTTAAGCACCCCCTCTCAAAAAAAATATAGAAACGTATAGAAAAGTAACATCCTACTATAATGGTGGTACAAGTAGATTATACAACAGCCTATCTTTTTGACAACCTGCACCAAAAAACATAGTCGACCTGGATCACAGCTGCGATCACCTCCAAAAAGACCAAACGCAGGGAGTTTCTTAAGTAACCCTCCCTCGGTCCCTCCACCAGGAAAAATAAAAACAAAAAAAAACATTCAGATTCACAAAGTGGATGTTCCATTCGGAAAATCAACATCTTCAGAATCTTCAGCACATCCATGAACATAACTGGCACTTATGCTTAGAATCATCAGCCAGTCTAGCAGCCACTGCACATATGAATGCGACATGTTACATGTTGCAATCAGTACATATGTACATATCAAGTACTATTGCCAATATTTCAGAATATCCTGATAGTTACAGTAAACTGCTATGGTATCCTCAGGGTCCATGGCAAACTTCTTTCTTTTTCATCGCTTGGCCCGCTTGGCTTCCGCACGTAGACATGAGTCCCTCGCTGTGTTGTGGAGAACGTAGAAGCTTCTGACAGGTTGGGATCAAGCTACAAGTTGCCCCAGTCACGGTCACGATGATATATCTATATTATCATAGTTAATGGATGTTAATGTCCGACCAGTTGTTCCATCATCATAAGCCCACCAATTGTGACTGAACCACCTTTTGCACATCAACGGTTATCGAGAAGGACATGCCATTCTGTTCGCCCAAATATTTGAATATGTGGTGCTTCATCGGATGAAATTCGTCGCAGTTGGTAAGTTGGTGAACAAAAACGCCAGTCATAAGGGGATTAAATTAAATTAAGCGTACTTCTCCCACTTCAAACCAGGAATCAAAGATCATAGAAGCTACCTCGCTTGGGACCACCAAGTAGTCACAGAACTGGCCGTGTCATCCAAGTCATCAGACTATGACTTAGTATGAACACCCATGGTGACTTGGGGGTATGCCTACTTTAGGAAACCTCCATATTATATATATATATATATTTATTTATTTATTATTATCATTATTATTTTTATTTGTGTTATTATTATTATCATACTATATATATATGTATATCTATATAATTTGATGGGCAAAAAACAATGGTTTAGAACCTCATTTCCGCGAGATCTTTTCTATGCGCCAGTGTTCAATGTGTTCAATGCATTTCAGTGCTCTAAAAGCAGAGGCACGCAGACATCTTGGAAGTCTTTTGCCAAAAACTTGGCTAAATACAAAGCTTCTGCCATATGCGAGCTGGGCTTCCTGGGTGTCGTTCACCCCAAATGGCTTGGACAAGGGGATTTTTGGTGGCGACAGAATGGGAAGATGTGCAGATGCAATGGAAATATGAATGGAATATGTAACCAACCAGCAATATGATGGTTAAATGGTTCCATGAGTTTCGAAACTGGCTTTGCGGCCAAATGAGCCTGGTTCACCCACTTGTAAATGGAATAGCCAGGGAATCCGGGACTCATGATCACCAGGGTTATGAAACAGATACTAAGTGGGAAGACCTTCCAATTCTTCCAAGTAGACCCTGAATATACAATTGAATTGAATATATAGTCTCGGTAAAAGGACCAATAAATTGGGCCAACATTTTGTTTTGTGCACATTGATCGAGGTATTTGGTGGTGACCCTCTGCATATCCAGCCTTCCAAAAAATGAACACCCAAGTGTCTGGCTACTGTCACCAAGAAAAGAACTGAAAAGAAAATTGGGAAACACATCAATAGCACCATCAATAGCATCTGCTTGTCAGTTCAGCAACCTACCATCTCAAAAAAAAAAGGGGAGAAATTCTTGAAAGCTCGATCGGATCACTCTGACAGGGCTAAAGCATCACAAAGTGGGAATTCGCCCCACATGGACACCTCATTTTTTAGACCAAAAACAGCAGTCCACCTATAATTAAGTACCTTCATTATGGCACATCTTTCTAGAATCACCAGCCGGGTTACCCCGGATTCTTGAGAGGAAACTCCGGGATCTGAAACTGCCAAGATTCAGAATGTTGTACTCAAAGCTGTCTTCTCTCCTTGAGGTGACGTTCATCAAAGCCACTTGCGCTGTGACCATCGACACATCTAGCAGCAATCCTTACCGAAATTGATCCAGTGCTCAATTCACGGCACTTCTGTGGTGGGACATGTGCTATGTAGATTTATCTACTGCATAATAAACACGCGAAACAGAACTATTAGTTATAGAATGTTATAGATGCATAGAGGTGATGTTATTGCCTGTCTTACTTTAATGAGAAATTATGATATATATATATAGAGAGAGAGAGGTATAGGCCGATAGTCCTTCTTGGGAACACCTCATTCAGATATGGTTGTGTGAAAAAGGGTGTATGTCCCCAGCTTCTTTCAATACGGAAAGTGATATTTTGAACCTGCTCGAGTTAGGTATTTTCACATCTTTTCAGACAAGTCCATATAAGCCAGGAAAAAAAAACTATTCCATCATAATCGATGGTTGTATCCAAATTCTGCTTAAAGTAACCCCCAAATCAACAATGGAACTTTCCGTGGTTCATGCAGTTTTGGCCAAACTGTTAAGGGCCATGGCCCTGTATGAAAATCATCCGCACCCAGCATCCGCCTTGCTTCCGACACCCAGTGGGGCAGCAAATCAACTTCAAAAAGTCGCTTCCGAACATCGCGGCTGAAGCATCGAACTGCTTTCGACCGAGACTCACCATGGCACCATCAATGTCATAGGCAAACCTCATAGACCGAATGAGGTTCACCAAAGTGGCAGAATCTAGATATTAACGATATTAGAATAGATGGACAAGATTGACATTGTATCAAAACCGTTGAAATAGTATCATACTTGTATCTAGAGGATTGCACACTACTATATGCACATGTGTGTAAGTATATCTATACGGTCTATACGTAATACGTATGTAAAGATCTATTTCGATACAGGTCTCGAGACAGGTCTCAGATTGGGGTCCTGGGATTTGGAGCCAATCCCATAAAATAAAAAAACAACATGGGTTGAATCTTAGAACATCTATAATTATATGTACATATTATATATACATATATAAATATATGTATATGTATATTATATTATATTGTATTATATTTTATTAAAATATATTATATTTTATCTTATTCTATTTTACATTAAAATATATATTTTATATATATCATATATCATATATCATATATATTATATACTATATTATATTACATTAAATTACATTGTATATATTATAATGTAAACATATAGATCTTTTGCAGGAAACATACGGTATCACCATTTATCAACCGATCCTGGGATTCCCCAGACTGGGATTCCCTTCAGAACTTGCCTTTTTCAACGCCAAAATCATGAGGTCAAAATCTTCATCAAAATCATCATCAAAATGCCTCGTAGTCCCATTAAAAAGCCAGCCTCAGACCATCATTTCTATGGATTAAAGATGATTAAAATGAAGAAATCCCACCACAATCACTACTTAACTAATCTATGGCACATATATCTGCTGGTTGCTGGTTGACCAACCCCTAAGTCAATTCTTGGGCCATTTTTGGGGTAAATGTAGGTACATATTCCAGCACCATGGAGCATCTGGGTATTTAAATATATTTCCTGGTTGGTGGTTTCAACCAACCCCTCTGAAAAATGATGGACTTCGTCAGTTGGGATGATGACATTCCCAATACATGGAACAATAAAATTCATGTTCCAAACCACCAACCAGATTCACACTCACCTACTGAATCCAGACAACAAGAAACCACCAACATATCAACATCAAATCTGGAAAAAAAAATAACATTCAGGCAGGATTTCTCTACGTTTTGATCGTTCTTTTGGTGGACTCGTCGCTCAGAGACTCTTCGAGGTAGTTGAGACCAAACATCACCGCTGGACGAGCTGTTGTTGTTGCTCCCGCCAGGGCCGGCATCAAGGAATAGCCTCCCAAGCAGATGTCCAGCAGGCGCCATGTTTTCCCCCATTTTCACCACCTTTTGTTTTATAGGGGATGCTTCACTACAATAAAGAAAAAAACATGAAAAACCTGGCCATTTCTGGTTGGAACTGGGCTTCCATGCATATGTCAATCTTCCAATGGATTGGTTTACGGGAGAAATATCGGCAAAATCTAAGCCGCATTTCTTGTTTTACCATGTTTTACACCCCTTCATTCATCGGGGTCTCTTGCACCCTGCACACACGGGATATCTCAAGAACAAACAGAATGCTTGACCTCCGGATGAGAACAACCATGCCCTTTGGTGGAAACATAGACAGGGTCGGGGTGCTACCATTCACATCACACCAGAGTTGTTCCATGGTGGTTACTTCTCAATGATTGTTGTTGGAAATTCATGATGTCTCAAAGATTTACAGTATCATAATGTGAGCCATGAAAAATACCCCTGTCCTACCTCATCAGACTGGTTCGTTGATAGGTATTCCGTTAGTAATAGTATAGGTTAATGAACACCAATGAACAAGGTTGGTTAATAACCAATGACTGATCAACGGGCAATGAGGTTGCTATCACTTGTCCCGCCCTACTTCTTGAAGAAATTAGTGTCCCATTCACTAAATTATTGCAAGGTAGTACCCACTTGTTCTATTTTGATTTATAGCCCCATCTCACTATCATTATAATAATCCTAGATCCTGCTTATATTTGGTATGAACCAACTTGGCTAGCTATGTGTTTGAGGTATGTACCTAATTGTTCTTCAGAATACTGTGCAAACTGTCACAGCAGTACATCATATATGGCTCAGGTTCAAAATTAGATAACTATAAATATACCACAGGGTAGCCCCATCAATCCATATAGTTAGACGGAGGGAATTTCATAATGCGACAAAGTCATTTGTCTTCACAGGCGACCAACGTATAACTGGGCTGCTCCCAGCACCCCTTAAATATACGGGGAAAACACGGGGGGGGCTAGATAACGAATGATGCTTAGAGTTGTTTGCCCCCATGTGGCTACTATTATGGGTTGGAGGAAGCCTGTTATACCCTCTGGAAATCAGACGTGGCAATGGAACCCTCCTATAGATGGAGGCCGAAAGTTGGGACAATCATCGAACTAAATGAAGGCTTTTCCAGCCACGTTTGATGACACTAGATGGTATTCTCCAATATTCCATCAATATTCCATTATATGGCAGTGTGTCAAAACCCTGGTACCTAGTGAACCCCAAAATAGCTGGTAAATGGATATTCATCCCACTAAAAATGTATCTATAGGTATTGACCCATACCCATATCACCATTAAATCACCACTTTCTACAGTGTCAGCCCCCCAGTTGTAAGTCGCCTTATAAACTCCATGAATACTATAGCCATAGTATCATACACCAAAGTGGAATTGGAGTTGTGTTCATCAACTTAGCTATCTTGTGGGACCCGCATTGTAGATGATGTTATGATGTTCCTATGGAACCCAAAAGTCATGCACGAAGTTGGCCGCACCTTGCATGGTATCAAGGGCTTTGGCCTTGGCCAAGTCCAGGAAAGTCATTGGAACCTGACGGCGAGTCTGCAACGCCCAAGACGCCAGTTCTTACTGACTTTGCCAACAAATTGTTAAGTCGACAGTGGGCTACCACGGTGACAAACGTATAAGTAAGGTACGGGACGTCTTGGGTACTTCTATCAAATTCCACGTTCAAATCCCATTTAAGCACGTTTCGTAAGCACAACAAATGGCCAAAAATAGATTGATGAAATACGATCGATGAAATGATGAACTCTGGAAATATGAAACCCAAATGCTCCATGTATGGAATATGTATACCAACATTTACCCTAAAAATCACTCAAATGTAGGTAAATATATCAGCACCATGGAGCATATGGGAAACCCATAAATCATCTCATTTTTCATCTTCGATCATCCTCAACTTGGTTGAAGGGAAAATTGAAGCTGCCAAGGGATCCAAGGGTGCCACGGCCAGGGCACATCAATCAGCGATACGGGATGATCCACGACGACGTTCTGCGGCAGTGACGGACCGGTCACCAGCAACGGGACATGCACGGAGGGCTCCCAGGGACTGGTCTTGGAGAAGTGGCCCAAATCGCCTGCGAAAAATCTGCGTCTGCGGGATGTTCTCAGGGGATGTTCTCCAGTTTGTTGGCGAAGAAAAGGAGTTTGAACATGTAACTGGTTCTTTTCCGTGGTATTTCTCGGTATATCTATTGTTATCTCATTTCCAAGGTCAGCCATTTTTTTGGGGGGTTGAATTGAACGATCACCAAATCTGATAGTGGATGTTACAGTTTGCGAAGAATTTTGAGCAGGGATTAGGTGCGTACCTCAAACACATAGCAAAGTTGGTTTACGAGGAATACTTCACAGGGGTGTATGGTGATTATAGCCATTCACAGATATAAATGGAAATATAACTCCTATTAGCCTATGTCCTATAACTAAGGTCCTATATGGTTATATATAATTATACATGTCTAACTGTATAGTAGATTATCATGATCCATATATACATATATGTTATCCATATATATATATATATATATATTATCCATGTGTTTATAACTGTTAATGGCCATAACTCTATGTTATGCGCTTAGAAGCCGACGGTGTTTCCACACCGGCATCTCTAGGATGGTCCAGGCAGTGGATGAAGAACTCGTTGCTTTCGGTTTCAGCCGGTCCAAACATGCTAGAAAATGCTTCTTCACATAACACACATGTATACTGTATAATTTGTATATATATATATATTTATACATTAAATATAAAATATGGATATATATATATATATCCAATGTATATAGAAATAAAATGTATATATATATAGGTATAATGTATATATATAATATATATAATATATATAATGTATATATATAATGTATATATATAATGTATATATATAATTATATATATATAATTATATATATATATATAATGATATATATATATATTATATATATATATACGTATATCTAATATATACATATTTGAACCCACCAAGCAGAAAAAAGAAATGGATGGTGAGTTCCACGAACAAGTTAAGCCATTTTGGGATAATTTTCCCTACGTTCCCCATCCAGATTTTCCTACGCTGCTTGGTTGACCAACACGAAATCCGAGAAGATTATCTCCATCAAATCCTAGGGAAAACCCAGATTACATGATTGCATTCTTATCAGATTCAATTTGATTCCCAGAAAAAAAACAATATCCACATGTTCTGAAAAAAGTCCCCAAGTCTTCACATATTGATAGTTATAAAAGTTCATTTAATATGCATGTATAATCATTTATATCCCCATGACATGCCCCCACATATTGGTTTTTATGACCATACGTGCCACATATAGTCCCATTAAAAAGCCAGCTTTAGACCATCATTTCTATGAATTAAAATGATGAAATCCAATTACAACCAATCTATAGCACATATATCTGCTGGTTGGTGGTTGACCTACCCCTCTGAAAAAATATGAAAGTCAGTTGGGATTATTATTTCCAATATATGCAAAAATAAAAATGTTCCAAACCACCAACCAGTCTGGGTAAATTGTAATATTTCACTCACCTGAACTGTTCGGCTTATATTGGGATAGTTCCCCTTATACTAACCATTGTTCCCGGGTTCCGTCACGACCTTTTTGGTCACTATAATTACAAAAAAATAGTATAATAACTATATCCCATAATATGCCCATGATAATGCCACTATTTTTCATCCCCATTCATCCCCATTCATGTGGGTAAAACAATAATCAACCATTCACCAGTCATCATCATTTGTATAGGTGGAAGATGGAGGAAGTTATGAAGTTGTACCATTCCCAAATCGGTAGTTTATCATTGTTTTAGTTTATGGCATTGTTTTGCCCACATTACCCTCTGGTAAACTAACGTAACTATGGAAAATCACCATTTAATGGGAATATCCACTATAAATGGCAATTTTCAATAGCTATTTGACATAAACAGAGGGTAATCACCATTGATGAACCTGGTGAACCCCCCTGCTCCTACGGTCCTAGGTGATCTCCATGGTCGCCGGTGACAACGATGACCGTGTTCCGACGCATCTCGTAACGTTCCAAGGTCCTCGGTGGAAACAGAATCAGCCTGGAGATGCTGTCCGAAACAGGTTTAACTGGTTGGTGGTTTCGTTCAACCCCTCTGAAAAATATATGAAAGTCAGTTGGGATGATGAAATTCCCAATATATGGAAAAATTGAAAAATGTTCCAAACCACCAACCAGATTATATATAATATACAGTAATACATACACATAATATATACATATATATATATACTATACATATAAATACAGCAACATAAATGATTTTCTTTCGGAGGTCTGCAGAATGGATAAAGCATGTGTCAAGATCACATGTTTGTGTACGGGTCAAAACCAAAAAGTATCCTGGTGGCTAAATGTTGGTAGCACAGCCCCTAAATTCAACATGGAAGCCATGTTTTTTAGTGATGTCCATGTGCGGAAAATCATCTAACCCAGACCCCAGAAATTTGGGATTCCCTGGATTCCAGTCGTTACATGTAGTGAGTGCAGTGGATGTCGATGCACCAAAAGATGGTCCAAGAAAAAGATGGCATGACCAATCTCCAGCCCATTTTCACGTACCATTCACCTTAAAGTCTACCTAGCTTGTTCCTCGCGGCATATACTGGGTGTGTCTCTGGGGAATGTGCAACAAATGGAAAGTTTCATCCATCTGTATTTTAAGGAAACATTGGTAATTAATTAAATAAATATATATATATATATCGCGGGGATATTAGATGGAATCTAATTATAATGATATAGTCCGATGTACAATAAAGTTAGATGCAATAGGACTAGTATGCGGCCATACTGGAATACCACAAACAATATGCTGTGTTGATGTGAATGAACACGGGGGATAGCCAAAATTGCAATCTTAATAGGGAAACCGTGAAACCTACCCTCCTGACTCTAGATAATATGATAACATACTGCAACATTACGGAAGCATGGGGAACCAGAAGGACATACTCCATGATAAATCTGAAATAGTCTCTTCCCGTTGGTTCATGAATTATGATTCCTAAATCCATCAGAACAAGAAATCTCAGCATCAAATGAGCCTCAGGCCGACCTCCAAGACACATGACAGGGGGGCCCTTCCCGTAGTAAACTTGTGGATTGTTCTTTGGGGTTTGGCTAAACTCCACAACTCTCAACCAGACTAAACCAGACCACCAAGAACTCGCTGTAATCAGCTGAACATGAACTGGCTGGTGGTTGATCTTCCCCTCTGAAAAATATGAAAGTCAGTTGGGATTACTATTCCCAATATATGGAAAAATAAAAAATGTTCCAAACCACCAACCAGTGAATCAAAGAAACATCCTAGAAGAGACAGGAATTCGGGAGATCGGGAGCCCTACCCACAACGCGGACCCCCTTCCAAATACTGTATAGATCTGAATTAAACAAAATTAGTATTATCAGATATGATCAGAACATGTTTTGTTCAGGGTAAACCATTATGAGCTAGAGCAGCTAGACTCAAACCAGGTTAATCCACCAATTTGAATGGCTAGTGAATTGTCAATTCACCCCATGATCCGTGAACACATCTGGTACCCTCTGGTAAACTAACATAACTGTAACATAACTATGGAAAATCACCATTTTTAATGGGACAACTCACTATATATGGCCATTTCAATAGCTTTTTGTAGGTTTACCAGAGGGTATCTGGTTGTTCTAGCTCCAACGGGTCCAAATTCCGCAGTCCAAATGGACTCCATTCCCTCCTGCTGCGCTTAGCATAGCATCTGCAAAATCGATTGGATCTCGCGATCGATGCGAAGCAGATGTTGAGCATAGATCTGTCTCGTCTCCTGATGTGAAAAAAAAATCCATGCAGAAATGCCCTCCAGGATCCTCCAGAAAGAAACCGAGAATTCAGTTGCGAATGTTGTTTAAATTATTAAGCAAACAAATGAATTCTCAAACAAATGAGAATAAATTCAGCAAACAAACTATATTAAAAATATTAAGTACTAATATGTACTGTGTAACCACTTCTTTGTCCGTTCTGTTCTCCAAAAAAGGTGAACATTCAGGGACATGTCAAAAGAAAATCATGCCTGAATCAAATCTGCGAAGCACAGTCACATTCACCAAGTCCTTAAAAGGATGTGGTCTGTAGCGTTTGTTGCCCTCCAGATCAAAGACCAGAATCTCCGTAAAGTTTGCATCGATCGCTTCTGGAAGTCTCGCAGAGCCCCAAAGTTCATCTGGAACCAGCGGCGGGTGGGGACCCAAAAAATTCCTCAGATCAACTTTCGGCACTGATCATCGGCGGCAATCGACCATCGGCTGTGTCCATTCCAGCATCCAATTTGGGCACATGCCATGATCAAACAATGCCATCACTAGGAAATCCATAAAGTGTTTTTTTTTGATTTTTTTTGTAGCCCCTTTTTTCGTGGAAAAATATGGCCATCTTCCACTATTGAAAACCAACCAGCTTTGGCCGGTTTGGCCGGTGCAATGCCATTGAAAAATCGGGTCGACGTCGGGAAAAAACAGGTACGAAGCCCCATGCCAATGGATCATCATTGAACCCGTAACCTTACCATTTTGGGGTGGAATACCCATTTTTTTGGACAACATCGATGATCTGAACTCAATGATGAAGGGGATGGGGTTCGAACATGTAGCTGAACCAGCAATTTCTCATTTCGTGCAGCTTGGTCAGACAAAACACAATCTGGACACCCCTCGTTTCGCTTGTCATTGATGGGTAAGTGTAGCCAAGAACAAAGCATAGGCGTACTTGAAAGTGTAGTTCCGATTATAAGTATAAAATTGTATTCTATATATTAGATTATATTAGTATATATATATATACATATCCAAAGATCATAGTTAAAAGGGTTATATCCCAATTTATGGGTGGTTATAACCATGGTTATACCCATTTGTAACTTCAACTGCACCCCCAAGGATGGGTCAAACTGATCGACTGAGGCTGTCATCCGGCAGTTGTGACCACAACAAGAGCCCCACAAACCCATAGGTATCATAGGTAAGTCGCTTCACTTATGGCCCTTAACCTTTATTTAAAAAGTTATAAATGAGATAGAAACATGACAACTCCGGCAACTAAGTTTATATTTCATTTCAATGAGATAACTCTTCAGGGCACTGTGTTATACCTGGAAAAAAAGGGGGTTCGGATACCACTATAAATGGGGGATAAACCATAATAGTATTTAATAAACCCTAGTTATCCATAGTTTATAACCATAATAATAGTGTTTGATAAACCCTAATATTATTATAATATACCATATATTTTATTGAATCTAGTTTATAATATACCATAATACGTTTTTTCTCATGAACCATACATAGCATCAACTAGTTCGTACCCTAATACTGAATACTATAAGCCTAATAACCATAGCGTAATAGTATTTTATAGTATCTAATAAACCATATTACAAATACTATTAAACTATTAGATAATTAAATAACAGCTTAATATATTAACCATATTATCCATACAATGTGAGGCCCCCGTTCGATAGCTAAGTTGGTGCCAATAACTCCAATTTCACGATGGTTTATGGTACGCAAATAACTATAGTTACTGGGGCGAATCTAAACCAACTTATAACTGGGGGGCCTCACATTGTAACAATCATTAACCATGATCATGAACCATTATTATCCCATTATTATCCCATTATTAGCCATTATTATCCCATTATTATCCCATCATTTAATAGTATTTAATAAACTCATTAGGGTTTTTTTCTCCGGCTTCACGGGACGATTCGTCCCGACGCTTCGTCCCGACGATTCCGAAGTGTAAAATTTTCGAAGCAGATATCTCCAGATCTGTGAAGAAAATAATGGGAATATATGAACATCCACATTTAGGATATCGGGATATCATTTATTTATAATTTCTGATATTTGGATATTTAAATCCTTATCTATGATTCTATGAATAATGGGAATTCATTTATAATGGGAATTTATATAAATGATTTTATAATGGGGATATCAATGGGTAAATGTACCCATATGCTCCATGGTGTACAAAACTGGATGATTTTGTTCGGGCAAATGTTGGTAAATATTCCAGCACCATGGTTCGCATTTGGGATATCATATCCATTCATATCCATGATTGATTCAATAAGGTCAATAAGCATTTCTAACTTTAACATCTAAACTCAGCATGAAATCGCCAGGCTTCACTTGTAGAAACCACGGTTTCTCCAGTCCAAAGGTTTCTCGATGTCTCCGCAGCAACTCTTCAGCTTTTCGGCGGACCCAAGTATCGACACTGTGGTTATGATCCACCCCGTTCACCTGGCGTTGTGGCCCTTTACCGCTGATCTACCAGTGATTTTTTTGAGGTTATGAAATGTTAAACTGTTATTCATTGGATTGGTTTAAGGGAAAATCTACACCGGAAACCATGGTAAAATTACCATCAAATTGATCGGGCTTTACGGTTAAAATTGTCCCATCATCCAATTCTATGAGTTTTGAATGGGGTTATCATTCCATTCATGATTTACATGGTCTACTTAAATGGGTATGGGTCAATACCTATTAATACCATTTTTAATGGGATGAACATCCATTTACCAGCTATTTTAGGGTTCACTAGGGGTACCAGGGTTTTGACCCATCCCCAAATCTTGCTTTTGCTGGGTCGATGATTTGGCGTATTTTCCCTATATGGCACATCTTGGGGGCTCCTTCAGCTCCAGGAAATGTGACAAGTCTTACAACGGATCACCATCCAAGAACGCTGGGACCCTTTGTAATTCTGAAACCTGCGCACTGACATCATCTAACATTCCACAACATGATGTGGTTTTCAGCCTATGCAAAAGCAGTAGATATAGACAACTAATTGCCCCCCATGCCGGGGGGCATACATGAAAAAAAACGCCATGCCTTGGGACAGCGAAAGCCACATTCGATGATGCTGGTGGAGTCGCACACCTGTGTCCTTCGACAACTTTCGCCCATCGAAAAAATGCCATACGCCTCGACTGGATTCGACTGGTCCAAAGTCAAGGGACTACAGATGGCTCGAATGGTGCCCCCAAAATTCACCCAAGCATCAAGGATTTTCCCTTAAAATGTCGGGAGAATCTGGATAGATCAAGAAAATTGGAGACAAAAAACGGATACAGGTGAAAAAGGGGATTAATCAACCAAATTTGGAGGGTATAACCGGGATACTATTTTAGGATGAGCTAGGATATATGGGAACACCCCTTGTAGGTTGGTTTACCCTCTCCCATCCAACTATAGGTAACTTGTAACCAGTGATGGGTTCTGACCCTGAGGTGATACGGCGTTCGAAGAAAACGGGAGGTTGACGAAGGAAACGGGAGATTGGCAGCGACAAGAGCGAGATCGAAGCAAAAAGACTACATATTGATTACATCTTAATTATCTAATTGGCGGTTGACCTACATCCCCCTGAAAAATGATGGAGTTCGAAAAAGATTGGATCATCATCCCAACATCCAACTATTGGGGAAGTCATAAAAGCCAGGTTCCAGTCACCACCAAGCAGTTTCTTATCCAGTTTATAGCCATTTCAATAGGAAAGCTATTGAAACATGATGAGTTTCAGCATGGGATTTAGGGGCAGAGCTTCGACACAAAAATCGTCCCCCAAAGAAACTCACTCTGATTTTTGGGTCATCTTTGGGCTTTTCCCAATATATCATGTATCATGATATATCCTGTTATATCCTAATTAATTGAACTAATTGGTCTTATACCCAGTTTGATATAGTTTGATATAAGCACCAAAAAGGTAGAAAAGGAATTCCGTCCAACAGTACATTTTATCCCGCAGTCAATAAAGATGTTGGGACCTTCTAGTAGGGTTCGACATGTGCTTTATCTTTTCCGGGTTGCCGTCATATATATCTACTATATATATATATATAGATACATTATATATCATTTATAACCCTTTATCAAGCTTGAATTCCTATGCATTGCTTCCCCGTCACCGTCGCCTCGCATTGCTTCTGCAGAAGGTCCAGCTCTTTGAGATATGCTGAGTAGGCATCCACAGGCTCACCGTATCCATAACAAAAAGCCTGGTTCAAGGATGGGTCACAGATTCTTGGGGGCACAACAAACATCATCAACACAATTTGGATTCAACAAGCGAGCATCAGCTGACGAATTAAGAATTAAGAAAATCAGCTGACGAATTCGGAGAAATTGGGAAAATGTTTGATATTTTTCCAGCCAGTAATGGATAAGTAATGAGTAATTTTCTAGATAATTTTCCATTAAAACCTCCATGTAGTTATTTTTGTTCCCAGCCATGTTTGATGACACCAAAGGGGCGTCGACTGCTAACTGCTAACTGATCTAACTGATCGCTGCCATGTGACATACTTGTCTACGGCTCGGATAAACCAATCCACCCCCAGAGCGTCCATGTCCACAGACTGTCGAGCACCAGCCAGGTTCTCTGCTCCATCAGACCTGGTGATCCAGTTGGTTAGGTTAGTTCACCATAGATTACAGTAACCCATAGATTACACCCCCAACTATGATAGAACAGCAATTTATTACTCTATTTCAGTGGGAATATTCACATTTGGTTTTGGGGGTTGCTATACCTGCTGGGTTTATGGTGTATAATTGGAATAGTTCACTGGGGTATCACCCTTCCATACCCAACTTATCCAACCAAGCAGAAGATTGCAGAAGCTTCTAATGGGGGATCCCATGACTAACACCAGGTCGCCCTATCGATACGATCTAATGACGACTGGATGATAACTGCGGTACCCCCATGGTACCAAAACGGAAACCTCCAGGTCGTATCAACAACCGTACCCAAATGATCCAAATGATCATCACTTGGCCGTGACCATTTCGCCACCCTCTTCTGAATACGGGAGAGGTATATCATGTGTTTGCATTATCTAATTGAATTTGTTCAGAATTATTCACATGTGATAGTACCATTCCACTAATATCAACCATGTTCAATTCATAATTCACAATCATGAAAATGCAGTAGAAATCACTAGAATACTATTGGATTCACAATGTGTAGTACCATTATTTCACAATCATTGATTTACCGTAGTACTAACCACAAGTTACAGCAATTCATAGTGCAAGGCAGTGAGGTGGGAACAGAATCTAGCCGGTTTGACCATATGTCACTAACTACTGACGTACATAATCTACCAGGAACAATACAGTTATAGCCTTATAGCCATACCGCTGAACACTTATAGCTGGCTTATAACCTAATTTCGGTGATATGGAACCTTAGCTGGAGTTATATTCCCGTTTGTAACTGTTACGGGACATAACTGTAGTGACATAAGGAATATAATTTTAGCCACACTCATCATTGGTTTTGGTTCCCACAACTGCTCAACTGGAGTTTGATTGAGGCAGTACCTGTCCTGGTTTACCAGCTCAAGCCTAACCTCACCAAACAGTCTGAGAATCGTTTCTGTAAATGCAAAGTCGTGCAAATTGGGGCCCCGTAGATAGTTAGTGATTGCTTTTCAACCCCAACAACTATGGAGGTGACAAACCAACAAACATAACCAACAAATCCCGCGGACCTTGTACCTCTATGATTCATTAAATTAATGTGGTTTTCTTGGGAACAACGTTTGAAACCATGGTTTTTACCATGGCTTTGTAGCATTGTAGCATCATTCTTCTGAACGCCTCACCGTGCGGTCCAAGCACAAGTGATCTTTACCCACTAACATTGTCGTGTAGCCAACGCTTCGCAGAACTGACCTAGGGCGATTGAAGCCCTTGAAGCGGGGGACCTCTCCTACAAAGTGGCTGCTTAGTTGTGGTCATGTGGTCCCACAGTTCCAAATCGCTATGTTGGCTTATCACTAATCTATAGCAATCTATATACTATAGATACTAATATCACGTCACGAGAGTTCAGCGATCATAACTATATTTAGATGGGCTTATAAACGAACTGATGTATATATATATATAAATACATATATAACCACGGGGCACACCTTGTACCAGAATGGTGAACCAGCCAAAATTGCTTTTGACTCCAGGATCCCATGGGATACCCGGAGTAACTTTCTATCTGCTGGTGGTGAAACCAACCCACCCCTTCTCCTACGGTGGGTCGGCCAGCGAAATCCTGCAACACCAATTTGGGATGGTTGAAACATGTTGAAACCCAAAAGTAATGGGATGTTTACCACCGTTTTCAACGGGTGATTCGGATTTCGCTGGCCCATCCACAGTAAACTCTGTTGATCAATTAGAGGATTACCCCCGAAAAGTGACCACCCGATCTTAGGGGCCACTGGGGGATTAGTCATGGATTGACAATAGGTGGCCGCCCCCCAGTTTTGTTTGTTCGTTTGTACAGCCCATGAATACTATACCAAAATGCTCCATGGTGCTGGAATATTTACCTACATTTACCCCAAACATGGCATAAGTGTAGGCAAATATACCATACATAGCATATGGTTATAGTTATAGTTATAGTTATAATTATACTGGTTTGTGGTTTCAACCCCTCTGAAAAATTTTAGTCACATAGGAGTATTATTCCCATGTATTATGGAAAAACATGTTCCAAACCACCAACCAGTATAGGTCTTATTAGAGTTACATATAAACCGACTTAGCTATCGTTGGGGGCCCCACATATCCTTCATAAACCTGAGTTAACCAAATTATAAGTCGACCTAGCTATCCAGGGCCGATCTTGTGGTGACAGAACATCTGTGACCAGCAACCAGATTTTGCATTGGTCCATTCCAGGCGTTTGACAAATGATCGAAGAGATTTCCCTTGTGATCGTCTCGTGTATCTGAATCCCATCCCAATTTCATCTGGTTGGTGGTTTGAACCCCTATGAAAAATGATGGAGTTCGTCAGTTGGGATGATGACATTCCCAATATATGAAAAAAAAACATGTTCCAAACCACCAGCCAAATGATGTGAATATCATATTCATGATATAATTACAACATATAACATATAACCAACAACTGACTGGTTGAGCTACCGAAACAGTGTATCTGAATCCCATTCCAAATTCATATGTGCAATGGTCAAAAAATGGTATCGCTGGGTTTTTCGCAATCTGGATCTTGTGCTTGTGATTTCTTTAGTAGATGCTTGTTTATGGGCCCCAAAATGGGAGTTATGTTTGGTGGCTTATAACCCCATCTAAATATAGTTAATATATAGTTAATACAACCACCAACTTGTTAATTAGATGGTGGCTTATACCCCAACAACAAGTTAATTTGCGTATCATACACCAACTTCTTATGAAATAGTTAGAACTGCACCAAGTGATGGCGATTTACCTCACTGGGGCCCCATGTTGGGATGATTTTTCGTCAATGACATCCCTATGGCTTCAAGCATTTTCACCGAGCCTTGGAGGTTATTGAAATTGCAACTTTATCATTCATTTATCAGCAAACATGAAGGTGTATTATATATATAATATGGTTAGAGATGAACTCTAAGCACTTATGTTGAAGTCAATATGGTAAGAAAAGGCTTTGAAATAAAAACAAACTGCAGGAATCTCTGGGGAGGATTCTCTTCCCCCTCTGTTGAAACTACCACTGATCATCCTGGTGCTGGTTTTCTTCAGGCTGCGACATATTCTGAAAGGATTGGAGTCAACCGTGAACACCAACCCAAAACCACCCAAACTGATCCAAATGATCCCTAAAAATGTATGATCATTGATTCATCATATCAAACTTGATTCATATTGGATTTGCTGGAGCATCAATCCCGAGCAACCTTCACCCATACCCTTGATTGGTTCCAATCACTTAGTAAGCGACCTTTGTTGGAAGCTCCAATCCGCAAAATGCAATCCAGTGACATAAAGGTGGGCGTGTTCTGGGGCTTCCCTGTGTAACTATTGGAATTGTTCTTGATCCACATGTCCTGCAGTCTGAAATCTGAACCGAAAAAAAAAATGAGGAAGCTGGAAAGCTCTGGAAAATTCGGAAGGTGCTGCTGGTGTAAGGGTTCGTCATTGGGCATGCTGAAGTTTCCACCTCTTGACCTCGCTTCATGACCCAAGCTGGCTGTGCTGCTGAAGTCAACAGATAGCGAATCCCGGAAAATCCAAACCCGCTGAAGACTACGACATGATCCAAACCCATCCTAACACTAAACTCACACTGGTGTTATAAACATATATTTCATGTTAGGATTAGACACCCAGTTTTTTTTTGGGGGGGGTTCCCAATTGGCTGATGATCTTTGTAAGATGGCGCCTAAAGCCCCTTTTTGAAACATGTTGGGTCCCCCAGCAACCAAAGCGGTGCATTTTCGAGCCAAGTTTTTGCACGAAGTCTTCATCATAATCACCATTAAAATCAGATTCAAATCAGCATTTTTTTCCAACAATCATCATTCATCAGATAATCACCATGAAATAGGAAAATCACTATTTTACTATAATCATCAATGGATTGGCTTAAAGGAAAATCTACAGGAAACCATGGTTTTTACCATGAAATATAGGGCTTTCCTGTAAATTTTCCCATCATCCAATTCTATGAAATCAGCATTTCTTTGATGATTTTCCTAGAAACCTATGATTCCAATCTTGGCCGATGCCGCGCCTTGTATTCGCGCACCGCTGCCAGAGCAGAGCGGGCAGGGACACACAACGGTGACGGGGTGTAGGCACGGGTGAAGCGCACCCCTCGAGATTGGGAAAAAAAGGGATGAAGTGATGAAGCACCAAATCCCAGTCCCTACTGTTAATATATGGTTAATACATGGTTATTATATGGTTAATACATGGTTATTATATGGTTAATATATGGTTATTATATGGTTAATATACTGTTAATAGTGGTTAATATTAATGGTTATTATATGGTTAATGATGGTTAATAATTTAATATTTCATAGGGATGAAGTGATGAATCACCAAATCCCAGTAACGAAACATGGGAATTTATGATATGGGGATGTCAATGGGAAGGGAATGATGTGAATATAACTGGTTGGTGGTTGACCTACCCCTCTGAAAAATGATGGAGTTCGTCAGTTGGGATTATTATTCCCAATATATGGAAAAATAAAAAATGTTCCAAACCACCAACCAGATGATGTGAATATCATATTCATGATATAATTATAACATATAACCAACAACTGACTGGTTGAGCCACCGAAACAGTCATTGAAGTCATTGAGGATTCTCATCCCAAAATATGCCGACTCTCCAGATGCTAGAAAATGACACATAATTGAAACCACAAAGCCGAAAAATATATACCACCTGGTTATTTGTTACATAGCCATGGAAAATCCCCATGTTCAATAGGTAAACCATCTATTTCTATGGGCCATCTATACCATGGCGAACTGTTAGTCATAACCAGAGGGTATAAACATATGATTCGATCGATTTTTGACCGCCCAAATCTGGAATTCAAATGGACATGTATCGGCAAACAGACTGAACTCCTTGAGCTCTTTAAGGGGATGGATCCAAACCATAAACCATGAAATGGGCGAGAAATTGGTTATATGATGGTTATATGATGGTTATATGATGGGATTATAACATATTACGTATATATATATATATATGGTTGGTGGTGCAAGAACCATCTTGAAAAATGATGGAGTGAAAGTCCATGGGAAGGATGACATCCCATATATGAAATGGACAATAACATTCATGTTTGAAACCACCAAGCAGTGTTTGTTGGATTATAATCCCATCTCACTATAGATTACTATAGATATATCCATCATACCCTCTGGTAAACTAACATAATTATGGAAAATCACCATTTTTAATGGGTACATCAACTATCAATGGGCAATTTTCAATAGCTTTTTGTAGGTTTACCAGAGGGTAAATCATCATAAATCCTAAAGTTGCTATACGAATTCACTGAAAATCGCTGGCTGATGGTTTCTTTGGTCTCTTTGGGATGCTTCCCACATCCATCACCAGTGACTCTACACGACGTGAGGCTACTACAATCTATCCACATATTATAACCTCTGGTTATGACTGACAGTTCGCCATGGTATAGATGGTCCATTGAAATAGTGGATTTACCGAACTGGAAAATGGTGATTTTCCATAGTTATGTTAAATTACCATACCCTCTGGTTATGACTGACATAGTATACCCTCTGGTTATGACTAACATAACCATTAACCAGTATTAGTAACCATTATTAGTAACCATTATTAGTAACCATTGTTATTGGAGTTTTAAGCACCATTATATAACCATTAGTACCATCTGGTTATGACTAACAGTTCGCCATGGTATAGATGGCCCATAGAAATAGATGATTTTCCCAGCTATAAACATCCATTTATTTTGGGGATTTTCCATGGCTATGTTAAATAACCAGGTGGTAATATATCTTGATAGGCAGGAAACTGATAATTACCCAGCGGACGAACCCAAATCACTGCCTTGATACAGGTAGTACCACACAAGGCGGTGGCGGAAGTTTCAGAGATGGGAAACCTATATGAGAGCTTGGTTGCTGTGACTCATGGATGGCAGAGTGAACCCACTGATGGATCGAAAGGCGGTTGGAGCGTCCGGCTATCTATCTATCTGTCTATCTATCTGTCTATCCATCTCTTGATCTATCGATCGATCTATCTATCCATCCATCTATCTATCCATCTATCTATCGTTCATCAGGGGGTCAAAAGGCTGCTACTTCCCCCCGTTGCTCACCACTTACATGACTTACCTTCTGGCAATTTAACAGTTTGCTATCCATCCAGTTCGATGAGTTACCATGATTAACCTATATATACAGCATATGTAACAAATCATCAGCAAAGGGTAAGCATACTGGAATAGCTTCCTGATGGAGATAGTGGGATCCCCCTATGTCATGTGTCACGTTTGGCTCTCAGAATTGAAATTTACGAGTTGGAGAAGAGTGTTTCAACATGTTCAGTCAAATCCAAGTATAACATAGTATAACCCGTTTTATAATAAATCCAGATTGTTGCCATGAAATATCCATGTCTTAACACCAAGCACAGCAAAATGGCAGTGAGAAAAAACTACAGAGCTACCTGGTTTACCTCTAAATCCCGTGCTTTGTCGATCGATCTTCTCCATGAAAATATTGTTTTAAGGGTACATCCATTTTTTAGACAAACCCAGCTATCATCTCAAGTTGGCTAGTTATCCCAAATGCTCCATGGTGCTGGAATATGAATCCCAACATTTGCCCGAACAAAATCACCGAGTTTTGTAGGTAAATATACCAGCACCATGGAGAATATGGGTATGTTAATTCTATCCATATCATGAAATCTCAACATCTTCACTTAGTTAGTTCGAGCATATTTCCCTCGGCACCTGACTTGCCCAGAGCATCAATCGTAGGCAGAGACGGGCCATCGGCATGGCCGTTCCAGTCAAAACGCCACTGGTCCAGGACAAGGAAAAGAAGATTCGGCCGGGAAACCCGCTGCAAATCCAACCTGATGGCTTTGAAAAATTGGCTACTCACCAACTGATCCATGTGAAAAAAAGGATCAAAATCGATAAAATCACCTAGTTTAGCGTTTCAAATTCATCAAATCTCATGGTTTAGTTATTTGTTCATCTAGAGGTCTACCGGAGCTTTGGGGCTGTTGCAGGGAGCAACCAAAATGAGTCTTCACCGCAGCCGGATCGCAGTGTCTTTTTTTTCCAACGCTATGGAGATAGAGTGAAGATCCTGAATATGTCATTATGAAGAAATATGGCATATGATACATGTATGATTATTTTATGAAATTTTATGACGGATATATTTACATTAATATTTATATATATAATGGGCAAGGTTACCAACAATTTGGATTATACGGGTTTGTCTGAGAAGGAAGTATCCCCAAAAATATCAACTTGACTGGAACAATGACTGAATTTTCGGATGTACCATTTTCAGACAAAACCAAATCACCACAGGGTGATGCCCCAGTGAATGTTGGCTAAGTTTTTTAGTTGACAAGGTCAATTAATAGGATAGTTAAAAGGGATACTATCAGGTATAAATGCGCTATGATGAAGTTTGTTAGCACAATTGCTTTCTTTCCCGAAGAGGTAATTCACTTTTGGGAAGAGATGGAGGCAACATAAACAAAGCAACGCAGATTTCACGTTTGAAGAACACAAACATCGCCAGGGAAGATGCTGAAACGGTTCTGACTTCAGGCATGATCCATTTCTGGATGCCCCGCAGTTTTGTTTAGCAGTTTAGCTGGGTAGTATCTATCATATACACACATGCCTGAAGTATCATTGTCTATAGCACAATACTATGTGTAAGTTGGTTTATAACCCCATCTAAATGTATATACATTACATATATCATATCGCCATTTCCACCCACCAAGACTTGCCGAAGGAATGCCCAGCAACTTGCTCTGCAACAGCTGCAAAGGCGACACTCCCAGCTCCTCACTGTGCTCACTCTCTGGCGATGCCAGAGTAAAGCTTGTGCCGTAGGCGGCAAGGAAGACGCCAAGGCATTTCATATGATATGGACGTGAGTGACTTGATCCAAAAAGGCAGCAGAAGGTGGTACTCCCTTCACCTATCTTTGTTGGGTTGCCACATCCAACTATTGACCATGAGCTCTAATAATGCAAATGATCACCGTTTTCTGGCCTTGTGCACCACCATTTTTGCTTTGTTTTTTTCGTGTGACCTATGATTTTTTTTGTTGTGCAATTCAGGCTACCCAAGGTGCACAGTAAGCCTCAAGAGAAATCAAGAAATGGGTATGGCTCCCCAAAAACAGGTTACAAACTGACTCACAAATAGCACGACCGAGCCAAGGCGAACTGTGCTCAACTGGGCTCAATGTTTCCTCCACTTCTGTCTGCGAATCTATCCATATATTTTTCGGCTGTACCAACCCTGAAGTTCATTCAATCCACATGTTTATGTGAAATCTCCATTTATCAAGCATTTATTATCGTCTATCATGGTGAGATCCGATTTTGAACCATTCACCATCATGTATGGTGAAATCTCCATGAAAGCCCCATATTTGGGTTGCAAATGGGGTACCCCATTCCATCCACATTGGTTTATCATCAATTCCCCTATTATTTGATGGCGATGGTCATTTGGGGTGTGTGCCCTATTGACAGACCCAACTATGTTGGTTGATGTTGGTTGGCTATTTTGATTCGATCCCATTCATGTCCCATTCTAACATCCCAAACAAGACTGCTTGCTTTTAGCGAGCCATTCGCCTTCAATTTTGACCCAGCTTCAGCCAGTTTCCCCAAGGAGCCCCGACTGAAGTGGGTTCCAGCTTGGTCAAGGTGCTTGCTCCTTCCCGATTGAAAGCGGAATCTCTGATGAGCCACACCTCGCAGCTGCGAGCTCCGATGCTGATCCGTTGATTTTCACAGGTCACTTGCGCTATTGGTGAATTCGCCCATTGGTTTGCCTCAAGGGATATAGTTTGGCGCCATAGTTTTAATATCCATGTTTGGTTTTTCAGTCTGGGGGATGTAAATAAATAATGACTGTTTTTTTTAAGACAAAATTGTAACTTTGATCACCTTGTATGGTTGGGGAGTATACCCCAAAAAACTTTGATCACCTTGTATGGTTGGGGAGTATACCCCAAAAACGGCCCGAAAAACACTTCATCAAAGCGAGCCTTCCCCCATTTTTCATGAGAACTCATACCCCGAAAATGGCCATGTAATGGGGCAAGTGATTAGCATCCAAATTCTGAAGTAACCTATTTTCAGACTAACTCATATTAAGGGTAGTTGACAATAAACAAATTGATGGAAATGGAAATTCGGGATTATTGATGTAAGCAACAAAAATGCTGGACACTTTCTGGATTTTACAAATTTCGAATACTTGGGATACCTATCATTTTTCTGATGCTATCTATGGATTCTTGGATTTGTTGTTTTTTTTGCAGCAAACGCGATGGATAAAACTGGCAACATGGCTATGGGGACCGCCCTTCTTCAACGACACAGGGTGAAATTTGGGTGAACTCTGGTGAAATGATCCAGATCTCGTACAGAACTGGGCCTCAAAAAACCCTTTAAAGGGCAGGATTAGCATCGCAAATTTTGGACACAATCCGTGTTTTGCAGTATGTTTGGGATATATGTTTAAACACTATGAATCAAGGTCTTACAAAATAAAGGTTTACCCAAAATGTAATTGAAACCTTGAAACACGCAAGGGATTCAACCCCACTTTCAGTTACGTGCTGGAAACGAGATCGTGGTGTCAAAATATTCAAATCTTTATACAACCACCCTGCCACCATCAGGGATTCGTTATGAAATGTAATCCTCACTCATCATGGGATGATTATCGCGTTTTACAAAAAAAACATGTTTTGATCATGGCAGATGTGAATGACCTTATATATATATATACCCTGTTCCAACAGTGAATGAGACATGTCGATTGTTTCTTGTTTCAACCCACCCGAAAGGTTGTCAATGGGTTTGTCATGTTCGAAAATGCAAAACGATATTCACTGTAGCATTGGTTGTGTTTTTTTGACTATCAATTCCGTGTTTGGTTTTTCAATTTTCTATCTTTGATGGCCACGTCCCATCACTGCTGGCAAAAATGCAGTTTTTACTCTGTGTAACTAATTTTGGTGCCGAAATCCCCCGCATACGCTGATAAAACCAAATGTTGTTGTTCCACCATTTTGGTATTGATCCCTGGTGATTTTGCTGGTCACTATCAACCCACCTTCATAGTCGCTGAGATCACCGTTCAATGGCAAGTCTAAAAAATCATGCCTCAAACGGGACATGTCAGAAGTGACACCCGCGAAAACAGTTTTGTGGTAAATAATTTATAACACATAATTTTAAATCACCCCATATATATGGCACAACCATTTAACAAAATTTTGGTTTTGTCCAAAATTGAAACAAGAAAAACACATGTTTTTTTCATGTTTTCAAATCTGAAAGACAATATAACATTATATGTATGTATATATATATATATATCTCTCTCTCTCTCTTTATCAAACAATTTTGTATAACATTATATAACATTATTAAATATAATTAACCACCAAATTGTCTGCCCATTGTCTACCCATGGTCTACCCACCAACCCAGATCCTCAGGTTCCCAACACCGTTGTCCGTGCCAGGCACCCAAGGAATACGAACCTGACGCCGCACTTTCAGTGGGAAAACGCCTACCAAAAACGGCATTTCACAAAAAACATACATCGAAAATGGTGAGTTAACTGAAAAAAACGGTAATTTAGCTTTGGCTTAGCTATCAAAAGTTTATATATCTTAGCTAGGTTGGCAAACAAAGTTCATTCTCGATTAACTACTGTGTATTGAAATACAATCCCTGCAATGACTGGGAAATCTCGCAGGATATATCAAGAGATTTGGAAGCGTTTCCTTCAATCGTAGTCAATCATGGGTATCGATCTCCTCCTACCAGTACAAGTGGTGAAAAACATTGTGTCAATATTGTCAATCTCAATGGTTTTTTTCGGGAAGGGACAGCTATGAAACTTTGATGAGAGGGCAAAATGAAGCCAGATGAAGCCAGGTTTATTGCACAACCCCCCACCTTGTCAACCACGCCTGTTTCGACGCCGTCCCAAACGTACCGTGGTCCGTTCCAAAGTCGAAAACGTTGGGGTGTGTTGGAGGCCGGGCCCCCGTTATTTGACATCATGGCTAAACCTCAGACCCCCTGCGCAAGGCGAAAACATATGCGCGCAATGCATTCTGGCAGGAACTGGGATCCCCAGATCTGTAGCCGCTCCCGCTACTTGCTGCGTCAGATGGTTCATTGTAATGCCCAGCAAAGAGCGAAGGTCAACACGCCATGCTCCTATCGTTGTTTCCCTGGTTCCTGGTAGCATGAACCCTTTGATGGAGAAACCGTGAGAAAATCTCAGTCAAGGATCTTAGATTCGACTTTTGTAAAACAACAAATAATATTCCTAGAGCCGTTTGTTGGTGCCGCGAACCAATACCTTACATTTTTCACAAGAAAAAAACGACCACTCAGAAACCAAAGATGATCAAACCAAGGCGTATCTGCTCAATATATCTTGATATACCTAAGGTATCCCGGTTTTGGCTGGGAACTGGCTTACCATTGATGAAGCTGCGGCTTCATCCCATCAGCTGGGCCCCCTGGGCCGCCTGGGCATTTCCAGTTTTGGTTGGGTAAAGTCCCATAAAATTCATGTTGCTCAATGTCTGCCATTTTCACCTAGTACACCCTTTATCACTGTGTGGATTTTTGTTTAATTGCTTGCCTTTTTTGGGTTAGTGGTTAAATCATATGTTAAATCCACATGCTTGTGCGTTGTGCAGCCCCCCAAAGTTTGGTGACAACACCAATCATTCTCTGGTTGGTGGTTGACCTACCCCTGTGAAAAATGATGGAGTTCGTCAGTTGGGATGATGACATTCCCAACTGAATGGAAAGTCATAAAATTCCATGGTTCCAAACCACCAACCAGTTATATCCCAAGTGAATGGTCGTGAATTCCCTCGGTTTTGCCGTGGGAAAACCTCGAACTTGGTCAACACGTTCGAACAATGGCTGACTCAAGTGACAAAGCTGGCTGAGACACGCGCGGCCGGACTCTACCAACCATGATTGGTTTTAAAACCAATCCACTCACCTGGTAAATTTTGGTATAAGCCCCTATAATCATCAACCAACAGGGGTTTTGAACACCACTCATGTACATATATATATATACATATATATATCTGGGTAAATGAAATAATATTTCACTGACCTGAAAAGTTCGGCTATTTATGGGGATGATTCCCCCGATACGTTCACCATGGTCACCATGATTCCAGGGCTCGGTCGTGATGAAATTTATCCAGATTCAGCACCTTTTTGACCCACAAAAGCTATCGAAAAAGGATGCAGGGTATCTCAACATGGGAGAATCCTGGCCTACCCGGCCTGGTAAACATACAGTTTAAGCTATTGAAATTGGCCATAAACATAGTTGATTTACCCAGCTATAAAATGGTGGATCTTTCCATAGTTTTTTGTAAACGTTTACCAGAGGGTATTTTTTGGGTGTATTTCCCTATATCAGGAAAAACATAGACCTGGTGCCTTGATGGAAACATGCCTAGTTCATCGAAATTAATGACTTCTATATATATATATATAAGATTATATAAGAGGAAAAAAACGCCGTACTGTGCAAAAGTACTGTGCAACCAAGGTCGAGTTTATTCTCGACTTTTGGTAGGTTAGGTCGCTTGTTCAGAAATGCGTCTCTGTTGAATTTTCAGGAACTGCAGACGGGCAAAGTCGCCTTTCAAACAAGAAAAACACATTTGCACGAAAAGGAATAGAACACGAGCAGTCAGGATAGGTCCGGTATGATGAAATCTGGCGCTTTCGCACCAAGGCTTTTGATCAAATACGGCGCAGTGGAACTAAAACCAATTGGAAAATCCCTTGCAATGGTTGTGTATCGTGGGTATTTTGGGATTTTGAAGCTCAGCCTG